CGCTCTACTTAAGCCCGCCGGCATACGCGACTACCAAAGGAAACTGGGCTGCCTCCTTTTCGCAGCTGTCACCTGCCGCCCGGATCTATCGTATTCTGCAAGTCAGCTCGCCACCTACCTCAAGAAGCCTGAAGCAGAACATCTGGCGGAGCTCGACCACGCTCTTCACTACCTCGTCAGCACCCCGACGATCGGCCTAACTTACTACAAGAACGCAACTACACCGCCCAAGTTAATCGGCTACGTTGACGCCGATCACGCTGGCGACTCCGACAACAGGCGTTCTCGCACCGGCTACATCTACCGCCTCGAACCTATCGGACCTATCTCTTGGCAGTCGAGCAAGCAGGAATTAATCGCCCTCTCGTCAGCTGAAGCAGAATATATTGCACTCTGTTCAGCTACCAAGGAAGGACTTTACCTTCGCGAACTGCTGGAAGAAGCGAAACTGGCTCAGTTACTCAGCTTCACCCTGTTTTGCGACAACCAGTCGGCAATTCGCATCGCCAACAAGAACGGCTTCGCGAACAGGACGAAACACATCGCCTTGCGATATTTCTTCGTAAAGGACGAGATCGAGAAAGGGAGGCTCGAGCTGTCATACTGCCCCACGTCCGAGATGGCAGCTGACTACCTGACCAAGAAGCTTGGAAAACAGAAGTTTGAGTACTGCATGCTGCTGACTAGACAGAGCCACGTCACCACCAGCGACACTCCAGAAGCGAAGGGGAGTGTTGGAAACAATCGGTCTTAAGCGCCTCTGTCGTGTCGAAACACCAAGACACAAGCGAAGCAAAGCATATCGAGGCACCAGCGAATCAACCCTCGGAGGTTGAAGTAATTGCTGGAGGTTACGCGAAAGTCAAAGGTCAGCGACCTTTGACCTGACAAGTACAGCGCGACAGCAAGGACACACAACTGACTCGCTACAGAGCAGTTGCCCGAGTCGTCACTGTATCGAACCGCAACAGCAACAGTAAAGTAGTTACAACCGTATCCTTTCATATTCCTTGTACTCTTATATAATCTTGTATCTCCTTGTTTTAATCAATCTACTTTGCCCTCACATACTAGCGCAAGGTGGTTCACAATACTTCATTAAAACGCTTCCGCTATTACATCAGTCCTACTCATAGTTCATCCCTGTAAAGATCCTAAGGGCTTTTCTCAGCCCAACACCGACACCGCCGGGCCAGCAATGCGAGGTTTGGTGAAACAGTGTGCGCGAAGTCGGCGAAGCCCCGTTAGTAGTAACGGGCGAACAACGGCTGCTGCTGTACGTGATGTTGTAGGGCGCGCTAAGGAATGGCGAGAAAATTCCTTACACATAAAAAAAAACACGGACACGAACCACTAACAAACAAGAGTACCTTAGAATGCACTTCAATCAATTACATGATTTGCAAAGATGCGAAGTGGGCATCATCAAGACCTCCTCTAAGCCTTATTTGTTCACCTGCTTCTACAAGTACACTCCATGCTAACCAGACCGTCGCAACACCCAATTAGTTCCCCACACATGCCCAATGCATCCCCCAAAATTTGACCTGCACCCATTCTCTACCCAGCCAACAGCCGCAGCTGCGGCAACCATCAGCCACGGCAGCTGCCGCTGCTGCTGCTGCTACTGCTCCTTGGACGCCTCCTTAGGTGCATCCTTGGTGACCCTCTTCGGCTTGTCGGCAGGGATAAGGGCCTCGAGCCTGTTCACTTTCATGCTCAGCATGCAGTAGCGGTACAGCACCCTGTCATCATGCATGCACACATAATTACGGGCATGCAGGCAAGCGGGCGCAGGGATGCAGGGAAACAGGAGGCCGGGCGTGCACGCACACACACAGACAGAAACAGGAGGCCGGACAGGCAGACAATTTTCAAAATGTGTTCTGTGAGCATGTGGATGCATGTCCGCAGGCATGCAGACGTGACGTGAAAAACCAGGAATTCCACGTATTGCCCTCAAAACAATTGTAGATGCAGACAGCAGCAGTGCAAGCATGGATGCACTGGGCAACAGTGAAACCAAGCAGGCGAATGTCTTCACAAAAAAATGGCCGCTGCACCAGCGACGCTGGAACAAATACAAGATAAGGAGAGCAGGGAGAGCAGGGAGCACGGGGAGCACATGGCAAGTACCAGTAGAGGTAAATGCCGAACAGCCCGAGGATGAAGTTGCGCTGACTCTTGATGACCTGGTGAGAGTAACGGTGAGAGCATAGCACACAAGAGGACAGTGGAAGGCAAGGAGCCCATAAGGAAGATGAAGTTGAGGGGACGGAGAGAGAAAGGGTAGAACGGAATAAGCACCACGAAGGATGGGATGCGGCGTTGTGTAAAGGATGTGGAGCGGAAAGCAGATATTGGAACCTGTCGAGCTAGGCTATCATTTGGGCCCTGATTAGGCCCTGCATGCCTGAAGCTAGCACCAACAGAGCTCACATTTTTGTTTGAAGTCGTTGCAGCTTGATCGGCTGTGACCATGAGACATGTGCTGGTTGCATAAATCACTCGGAGATAGAGCAATCAAGGCTCAGAGTTTTTTATGTTTGAAATCAATTGACCCCGGATTCGGAACATGTAATGTCTCTGTACCAGGTAGAAAGCGCATGCTAGCACAGCTTCCGCCCATCAAAGCTTCGGCGGAAACTTACCGACTTCTGGTATCTGTCGCGGTCTGCTGATGTGCAGGCTCCGCCGCGGCAGTCCATGCGGAACTCGTACTTCCAGTACACGTCTGGAACGGGCGTGGAAAGAGCGGAGATAGGCAAGAAAAAGGAGAGGTGATCTTTGGGAATTAAATAAACGCCAGGGCAGTCCATGCGGAACTCGTACTTCCAGTACACGTCTGGAACGGGCGCGAGACACGGTAGGGGAAGGAGCAGGAAATGAGATAGTTGAGTTTAGAGTCGACAAAAAAACAGAGGAAAGTGGAGGGAATTAAGCGTGGGGCAGTCCATGCGGAACTCGTACTTTTCGTACACGGCTGGAACGGGCGCGAGCAACGGAGACAGGAAAGGGGAGGGGGGGGGGTGGGTGGAGGGGGAGGGGGGAGGGATGAAGAGTGAGGAAGCCAGCAGAAAAAAGGGGGCAAGAAGAGGAGGCCGAAAAGCCACCACATCGAGCATACCGTTCTAGAGATACAAATTTTCAGGAAGCAGTTGACAGCCCGTGGGCCACCTCGAGGAGGAAGTAGAGTTAATCAAGAACACCCATAAAAGAGGGGGGAAAAAAGAACTATAAAAAAGAGAGCTCCCACCAAACGGGTTAACTAGTGATAATACTACTAATAACATCTGAGCAGGTGCAGAAAATCACTGACCCAGGAGAAAGAAGAGGCAAAACGGCACCACCGCCAGGAGTGGTTGCAGCGCCGCAAGAACCAGCGGAACGAAGCGAGAAATGAGCGGACGAGGGAGCGGCAAGCTGACGAGGAAGAGAAGCAAAGCCTCGAAGCCTGTGAGACTGGCCACGGCAACCCACATGAGACTCATGGCTGCTGGTGCTCAGGAAAAAAAAATCGAGTTTAGGGTTGGTGTTGGAAATTGCTGGTATATGGCTCGGACACGAACAAGGCTCACGCTAATGGTACAAGACGCAGGGAAGAACAAGACGATAGAGGGGCAGTGCCTAAAATTGGGTGAGGAAGAGGTAGACTGGGCGGATCTAGAACAGAGGTGGATCTGAATCCGAGTTATGGATACGAAGCTTAGGAGTCCACGGCATCCAAGCAATGAATGGGATCTTCTCAAGGCGTGAACGGGCTTCGCGCGACTCACTCTTTGCAGGCAGCTTCTTCAGTTCGAGTTACGCAAAATGTACGTGGAAGCTTCATTACCTCTCAAAATGTATGAATTATATACGTGATGGAAACGCACAATGATTTGAGACTCTAATTGAACCGAAACTGCTGCTCCTGGCTGAACGCGTCCTTCCTGAGCATGCGCCGCGAACCAGTGGAGGGCGCGAAATGAGAACCACACCCAACCGTTTCTTAGTCTACACGAATCGTTTTCACAGCCTAAGGAGGCTAAACCGTGACATGCCCCATTGCGAGTCGCGATGAGTTTCGGAAGCTTCGATGTTGCGTGTGACGTGCGACATAACTGCCAGCTGAGGGTGCCTCGCGAGGATCGCGAGTCAGTCATGCACCTCAGACGCCTCGCCAGAGTTCGCTAACAACGACGCTATGCACGGGATTCGTAAGGGCGTGGAACATCCTTATGAACATGGCGTTGGTCGCCCAATAGCGACAGTAACCACTGTTGCGACCATCGCCATTGACCTACGAAGTAGAGTGACGAAGACTGCAAGAAGCACGCACGTTCCGCAGCTTTTGCTTGTTGGTCGCCCAACTTTTTGGACCTCGCGGTTACGACAAGAAGTGGCGATTTCAGGAGAAACATGCGACATGCAACCAGGTGTTGTAGCGAGAGACGTGTTGCAACCCAATTTGCAGCACGGTGCTTGACGAAACGGGTGATTTTCGTGTACCATCGCGACTCCGAAATCATGGGCGACCAAGTGTTTCCAATTTGCAATGTGGGGTTTTGAGTGTTACCTGACGAAACTCATCGCAAACCATTGACGAGACAAATGTTCGACCAAAGAGCCGACGAAAGACTAGTTCATAAGGATGTTCCACGCTCTAACAGGATGGTTTGCTTGCAAATTCTGCGACGCAACCACGACATATTCGCCACAAACAGCCTGCCGCAGCTGCGCATTGTGTGGGTATCCCTTTGTCCGTCAGGTTTCCTCTCGGTAGAAGGGTTCTGAATACGGTGCCGTGGGAGAACTCCAGCTGCTAACCCGACCAGGCGCATTCCCAAAACCCTCCATCCATAGCAGAAGAAAATCCACAAATTAGACCATTGCCCAAACCCGATTTGATTAATCATGTAGTCAAAACACAGACTAACACGGGCAGGAGCACTCATGCTCGAGTGCTTCCCAAAGCCCAGGCCCTCAATCTGTCCAACTAGTCCAAGCCTCTGCAAACACTATGCGGAAGCTTCAGCTGGTTTTGCCTCCTCTTCACCTTCCTTAGCAGCTGTAAGACAAAGAGGAAAATTAACATAGGCATAAAATAACACACGTGCATCAGCACCAGTACTGGTACGGGCAGAATCCCCTCCCCCCCAACAGCCAAGGACGACATGCACTGAACAAAAAAGCAGGGAACAAAACCCTCATCGTCATTGCCGTCACAGCAAGCCAGCCAGCACCATTCGCACTTGTCCACAAGCAGCCCACCCTCCCCCTCCCTCTTACCCTTTTTCTTTGAAGCGGTCTTCTTCTTGGTCTTGTACGACATGGCGAGCCATGCCTTGACGTCGGCATCTTGCAGCTCACTCGTGGGCTGCAGTGTTTGGAGCGTGGCCGATGTGATGCGATCCGAGCCGTTGGGCATGAGCAGCACCGTGAACTTAATGTGCGCTACGATGTCACCTGGCAGGGGGCAGGGGGCAGGGGTCAGGGGGCAGGGGACAGGGGGCAGGAGGAGGGGGGGGGGCAAGAGGGAGGGGTCATTGTATGGGAGACATATGGATGTGGCGATGGAGAGAGGGTGGCTGGCCGGGGGAGTCAAGGGATCGAGAAGGATAGCACAATGATGAGGCAGGTTGTTCAGGAGTCGTTCACCATCCTTGATAACGAGTACAGCTCCTTGATTTCGCCTCTGCAGCGTACACGGCCTTCACCATTCCCTTCATGACCACTCTTACCACTGTGAAACTGCACTGGGCTGAACACACACAGCTTTGCACCTGGACTACAGCACCAAATCTTGAACCTTCAACTGGCTTTACTGACATGGCACCAGCACCACCTGCGTTCATGCACCACCAACCTTGCTTCTCGTGCAGCACGGGGTAAGGTTGCAGCAGGTCGTGGTTGACACACTCCACCAGCCCCAACCGCGCTGCCTTCGTCTCCAACGCCCTGCACCGCACAGGAGAACAGCAGAGAAAGGCAGAGAAGCGCAGAGAAAGGCGGCGCAGAACTGAGCCTAGAACGGATACAAGTAGTCAGCAACAGGCAGGGTATTGAGAGCAGAGGTCAAGCGGGTGATAGAGCAGCCAACACCAGGAAGCAGCACATCAAGCAGTCAGGGAGGGGCCAGCGATGTGCCCATCCAGCAGGCTGTGCAAGGCAATGCAAGAATTTCGCTATAAAGTACAGGTGACGGCTGGAAGGGGCAGGACTCGAGGTGGAAGTCACGTTGACTCCACGAAAAAAACCACCAGGGAACAAAGGGAAATGATGGGCGCAGGACTCGAGGTGACTTTTGGGTTTGCCTACAAACGCACCGACCACTGATAGGCAGGCAGGCATGAAGGCGGTAGATATTTGTGGGACTAAACGAGGTGGTTTCTGTTATCAGGCGAGACGCACGCACCGGGCAGTGAAGGGCATGATGGAGAACTTCTGGCTGATCTCGCTGAAGATGGCGCGCGACGCCTTGAGCTTGAGGCTGTACGCCTTGTCCACCGCGCGCTTGTACACCATCGTCTGCTTCTCGTCCACCAGCTTCGGCTGCACCGCTCAGCACCGCACCACAGAGCACAGCAGAAAAAAGCAGAGGACGGGAGAGGACACATGCGGCACCGCACACACATGCGAACAGGGAGAAGAAAGCGAGATGCGAGGGATGAGGGAAACAGGGACGGGTTTAGTGCATGGAGGAATTAAAGGTGGTGGTCGTCGTGGTGGTGCGGAAGGAGGTGCAAGGGCGGGCAAACGACATAGTGGGCCGGACAGAATTAAGCCAGCAAAGAAGTAAAGCACGGCACGGAGGTCAAGGGGGAAGGGAGGGACCGGAGGTGGACTGTACAAGAACGGGAAGACGGGCGGGTGACCTTAAGCATGCGCGTGCACGTGCGCATGCGGGTGCGGGTGCAGGTGCGTGCAAGCATTCCAAACGCTCCCTTACTGTACCCCCCCCCCCCCCCCGCGCGCGTGCATGCGTGCATTGGCGCCGGCCATTCCCCTCCCCCGTCCTCACCTTGCCCTCGCCGGAGCTCATGACGATATCGACGGCGTACACCTCGTTGGCCTCGAACTCGAAGTCCTCGACGCGCATCTCGGGCGAGGAAACGGAGAGCACGACCTTGTTGGCGTCGATCACGAACTGCTTCATCTGGTGCGACAGCACGCCCTCCACCACGTGCACGCCGTACGCCTCCGCCACCTTCTGCAGCGCCTCCGCCACCTCCTTGTTCTGCGGGGGGCGGGGGCGGCGCAGGGGGGAAGGCGGGTGCCGGCGGGGGGGGGGGTGGGGGGAGGCGGGAAAGAGGGGTTTGGAGGGGTGGAAAAGAGGGGGGAAAGGGAAGCGGGAACGGTTGGGATTGAGGGACAGGTAGGGACGGGGCCGGTGGGAAGGGACACAGGCATGCGGTGGACGCATTTGCCGAGCCGCCACTGGAGGGGCAAAGGGGGCCCAGACAGGGGTTTCAAGGAGGAAGAAGGAAACGTTAAGGGAAGCCAAGGAACGGATTGTTGATAGGCGTGGCAAGACTGACAACAGGGTGCGACAGGCGCGGCAGAAGGATAGCGTAAGAAAGGGCAAATGGTTGGAGAGGGGTGGGGGGGGGGTGCGGGGAGCGAGGAGGGAAGTGTAAGAGAGAGAGGCTACGGGAGAAGTGCAGGCAGAGCATCGGGGGAGGAGAGTAGGATGGGGAGAACTCGGGGAACGAGAAGGGCGGAACTGGGGTACGAGCTCTGGGTTCCAGGGGCGAGAGGGCGAGAACGACGGGGCTCCCGCAACACTTGCATAATAGCGCGTACGAAAGAAACTGTCTGCCTGTGACGTACGTGCTTGCCCGGTCGGACGAGCCGCAAGGCAACCTCTGCGGCGGTGTTGGCGGCGGCGATGACGTCAGCAGCCTTGCCCGTGACGGGCGCGGCGGCGTCCTCCTGCACCACCACCGTGTGCGCCGCCGACGCGATGAACCCGTCGATGTGCGCCGCCAGGTCGCTGCGGGGGGGTGGGGGGGAGAGGGGGAAGACCGGGGGGGAGGGGAGGGGCGGGCAGAGGGGCGGCGGAGGGGGAATGGGAGATGGGAAAAAGAAAGGAATGCGGAAGGGAGATGAAGATTTGAGAAAGAGGAAGGAGAAAGCAGGAAGGGAAAAGCAAGAATGGGGGAGAGAGTTGCGGCATATGGGAGGGAAGGGAGTGCAGGGTAAGGGGGATATGCATCAGCAAATCCGGACAATCGCTCTCAAGAGCCGTCAAATCGGACAGCCACTGCTCGATACTGAATGCGATGCAAGGAACACAGGAATCAGGGTCCTTAGTAATGCTGTATGTCCACATCCCTTGAGTGAAATGGTGTATGATGGAGAAAAGGAAGGAACGGGGTCCGATTCGAAGGATCGCGTACATTTTGACCACGTCGCCGTTAGCGAGAGCGGCCTCGTCGCCGGCAGCGGCGGAGTAATGGCAGACGATGTTGTTGACGGACACGCATGTGGGGAAGGCCACCCCGCGCTCTATCTTCTTCTTGGCGTTCTTGAACACGCCCTGAGATAACCTGCACCGGGTGGACAATGGACGGCCAGGTGCGGCGAATGGGATAGGATGAGAAGAACGAAGGAGTTGCGCAAGCAGGTGAAGGGGCCTAGACAGGCGACGGTGCTCTGGAGGATGACGACAAAAAAATAGCCGAGGTGGAACGGGTGGTCAGAAAAGGGAGATTCGACAAAAGTTTCCCGCATTTAACAAACGAAAGACAAATGATGCAGGGAAAGACTTAGGAAGGGAGGGCGGAAAAACGAAACCCACTCGTTGATAGTCTTGTCTCCGAGCTCGCATAGTTCTAGCACCTTTGCTCCCGCCTTGGCCTGTGCAGCCACAGTCGCAAGTGCCTCTGACAGGGTGGTGACAAGCACAATATAAGTATCGAGAAACAGAGCCGCAGGTAGATGAGCATGTACGTTTGACGCGATGACCAGGCAGAACAAGATGAGCGACCAGCATGTAAGCACAACATTCCATGGAGACAATGGAACGATGATGTAGTGACGATGCGCCCCGACTGGATACTTGAAATTTCCCAATGTGATAAAACGCATGAATATATGTCTGAATGAGGGCAGCGAGATACGTCCCATGTTTTACAGCTCAGGACTGGAAATCTAAAAAAAAAAATCCACAAGATTCCTTCCAACCGTACAATACTGTAAGCTCAGAGCCGCACAGAAACCAGGCCATGGCACCACAACGAAGAAATTCCACGAGGCGTGTGTACAGAAGCTCCGATAAGGAAAAAAGGAAAGTACGGACAGCTTGACGGCACAGAAAGGCACATAAACGGAAACGGCTGTACAGAAAGGCACTCACTGTTGGCAATCTCCGCAGCTGCCTTATACTTGGTGACGACATCGGCGGAAGTAAGGTCGAGCTCCTTGCGCTCTTCGGTCTCGATTTCGTCCACCATCTTCTCTCGTGGGGAATCCCTGGCTCTACGACTGCGAACCTCCCTCACGCACTCCGAAATCTAGGACGTTGAAAAAGCAGCGCTAGATGCGAATGAATGAGAGCACCTCGCAAGCAGCCGAATACGTGTTATGCGAAAGAAGATACCGCACTAGCAGCCTGAGAGCTAGCGCATGGAACTGACAAGCTACCAAGGATAAATGGTGGAGCTATGGGGCGAATGTCAAAGAGCGCATGGAATCTTAAAAAGGGGTTTTAGATCAGGCATCAGGCACACGATTCAGCCATGAGAGAATAGGAAGAGCGGCGGATTCGTCTTGATTGCGGGCGCGCGGAAAGGGGAATGCGCGGTGTTTCGGGCAAACCCGGGGAGTGCGGAGGAAGGTGAGCCAGGGATTCTTTGGGATGAGCAGGGCAGACAATCAGCTGAGGATGATGAATCCATCGGACACCACGAGGAGGTGACGTGGCGGATGCTGACTAAGCTGCTGCATGGGAAAGATCGAGGATATGGTCGCGCTGCCAGCATTCCTGGAGCTTGCAAAGATCATATTGCTACCGTGTTTCATAAGCTTCTGTAGGACGCTTATATTAGCAAAAGATTGGGCCTTAGCTGGTGCATTAGTGTTGCCAGCTGCATATGATTGATATACATGTAGTTTTACAGTTTAGCAAGATCTTTGGTGTGTTTTTTAATACGCAGAAAATTATGAAATTCATAAAATCAGACAAGTTTTTATAATATAGAGGATATAAATACCATAAAAAGTAGCTCTAATCCTGTATAAACATGACCAACTTAATGTAGTAGATCTAGCCATTTTTATTATAATCTGAACATAAATTTCAAGGGAGAGTTCTCAAGATGAGTCGCTAAATAGTAATAACATGATGTCCTCTTTCATCTCCACTTCAAGCAGGATATTGAAGTGAGTGCACAATCTGCACCTCTGTATCATCAGAATTAATCCTCAAACTGTTCCCTGAGTCGGGGTGATCGGTTTCCCGCCACCACTTTCTGTCACTCCCACACCCATGTCCACCACGCCACTCGCGACCGAACACAGTCAGTGTGCAGCCAAGCAGGCAACCCCCCTTCTGCTACCTGCAGTCAGTTTGCTCCAAGATCTCCAGATTTCTGCATGGCGTTTGCTTTCTGAAGAAATTATTTCCGTGATCACCGTTTAGAGCTTTGGTGTCGTAGACTTTCCCGCAGGTCTGCGTATTGTGGTCGTTTGGACTGTACGATTTGCCGTGCTGGCTTCATCATATAGCAAGATTTCCGTGCCGTCCTCCACAGGTCGGTGAATGATTTTGTGATCCCATCATTATTTCTTCTTAATGCGAAGGCTCGCATGCATCAGAGTCCGCGTTTCTTCTGCAACGGCAGACAGATGCGACGTTGCAGTAAATGCCTAGTTTTAGAACCGTACAGAACGTCTTGATATCTGCAAATAAATGCTTAAATTTTCTGCATTAATGCCTATTTATTGCTCGACCCTTGCTGATTAGGCATGTTGCTAACATGCGGACAGATGCGACGTTGCTCGGTCCAGCACATTTGGCCTGCGAATGCAACAAATTTCAATGGCCGTCGCACATGTCCCTCATGAGCCTCATGGATTCTGTCAGCTCTTGGCGCTCATGTCCTGATAGCTTTCTCCCTTATCACCTGTTTTTTTGGCATCTTATCAAGGGGCCATTGTAGTAGAATCTGGTTACAAACCTGCTAAAGCTGTAGCCCTGTTAACGGCAGTGTGAAGCGTGCCTATTTCTGTCGGAAGTGCTCTCTTTACACTCGTGTCTCTCTCGCTTTCGCCTCCCTTCTTCCCAGCCAATGGAGGTGAAGCACGTGGAGGAGGTTCAGAAGCTCAGTGCGGTGATATCGGAGCTCGAGCTTATACTTCACTCTGCCGCCGCGAAGCCGCCTGATCCCCTCTTCTGCTTCGATCTGCTCAAGAATCTCCATGCCTCCATCGAGCATGAACCCGAGGTGAGAAAATGATGTCAGGGTGTGGTGTGCCTGTGTGTGCTTTCGCAGAGGCAACCTGAATGTTGACTCGAACTTTCCCCGTGTCTCTGTCTGAGCCGTAGCTGAATAACGTAGACTATCACGACCTGCGCTGGGTTGGACGCGGTTTGTCGCCATCGTTACGAATGAAATTGAACACAAAATAACGTCAGCACCCTCTCGCTCGATCTACCCGCAAGAGGGATCAGACAGCAGAACCAAAAGAGTCTTGGGTGCTCTTTTCGCCATGAATTGACCTGTGATGGCACATCATTGCCTCACAGGCAGATACCTCACATCATTAACTCTTATGTTCTGTATATATTTGCTGGTTTATTTCCATCAATGGGTTTGAATGTAGACATTGACCAGAGTACAACATCTGCCATCTTTCCCCCCGTTGCGCTTCCCCCCTCCCCACCCCTTCGTCCTTCTCCCCGAGCACAGGAGTCGCTGCAGCTCATGCAGCGGCGCAGCGAGGACACCCTGCAGGCGCTGCTGCTGCAGGGCGCGGGCCCCCCGAACCGGCGGCTGCTGGCGGGCGCGCTGGTGCGCGTGATAGAGCGCGGGGACTCCATCTCCGTGTACTCGCGCGTCAGCTGCCTGCAGGGCTGGTTCTTTGAGAAGGGAGAAAAGCGGGCGACCGCTGTTGTGGGTGAGTGTGGGAGGAAGAAGCGAGTGAGGGAAAGAGATTGAGGAATTGAGCGAGTGTGTGGAAGGGCGATGGGAGAAGTAACGGACTGTTAAAAAATGGTTGTTAGGGAGGGAGAGGGTGTGTGTGTGGATGGGGAGTAGGAAGGGTGGTGTATGAATGACACTGCAAGTGGCCAGTACAGGGTAAGAGCCATATTGGCCATCTTCTCACTTCCATCTTTCATGCACGCTCCCATCCCTGCGATGGCACTGGGTTCCAACGCGTTGAGACGGGAAAGAATATATCTCACAGCCATTAATGATTCGTATTGTGACCCTGTCACACACGATGATGATCCACACTGAACATTGCAATTTATCCATTATGCCTACCCTCTGCCGTGCCTGCACAAATGCATGATTTCCTAATTTCCTATGAGCAGGGGCGCTGGAAGCATTGACAACCATCACACGTGCGTTCGGCACACGGATTGCATCCAGCCTCACGGAGACGGTCAACGTTGTCAGCCGGCTGTTGCGCAATGCAGAGGTCTGTCTGTGCTTGCTTCCTCAAACGGCCGGTTCCCTCCCTCTGCTGGATTTTCTTTTCCTTTCTCTGTTGTCGATTCCCTTCTCCGCATGGCCAGCCATCCATTTTGGTCCTCTGCTGCATTTTCATCCTCCGTGCCCTCAGTTTCTCTTCCATTCTGCAGGCTTTCCCGCTCCCCTTCCTTCCATTCCACACTCATTCCCACCAACTCTCACTCTCTTCCCGCCTTGCCACCGTCCTTTGCCGCGTCCCCCACTCCTTCCCCCCATCAGCCCAGCGTGCGGAACGCATCCCTGCAGCTGCTGCTGGCAGCAATCGAGGTGATGAAAGGCGCGGGCCCCACTTCCGCGTATACTGACGCAGTGCGTGCACTCTCCGGCTATGGCGTGAGAGATAGGTCCGCCCTGGTGCGCGAGACCACGGCACACTGCATCCAGGCGCTCGCGGTTACCGGTGGGCCGGGGCTGGCGGGAGGCGCGCTGGATTCCATGGCGCAGCTGTGTGTGAAGGTGGGTGTGAGGGACAATTGCGGCCCCCTATTTTTGTGAGAAAGACCAGAGCTGGCGGGCGGGTATGGGGGGACCAAGGCTGGCGGGAGGGGCGCTGGATTCCATGGCGCAGCTGTGTGTGAAGGTGGGTGTGTGGGACAATCGTGGGCCCCTTTTTGTGAGCAAGATCAGAGCATACCGCATCCAGGCAGGCACTTGCGGACGGGTATTGGGGGACCAGGGCTGGCGAGAGGTGCGCTGGATTCTATGGTGTAGCTGTGTGTGGGTGGGAGGACGGTGCTGGACGAGGAGAGAAGAGAGGGAGGAGAAAGGAAGCCGTGTGGCGTGGGAACATGCTTGTGCTTGTTTTGAGGAATTGGAGGATCATGGTATAGAGATGGCTGTTTATTTGGTCAGTGCTAGGCTGCCCGGTTGTGGTGTGAGATATTGTAATAAACGTTTTGCTGGGTGTGTGCTGGGGCACGGGCGTGGGAATGTGCGCGGGCATGGGCATGGGCATGGGCATGGGCATGGGCATGGGCATGGGCATGGGCTTGGGCATGGGCTTGGGCATGGGCATGATCACGGCCATGGGCATGTGCATGTGCATGGCACACTAACAGGCGGTGGACGACCCAGCGCAGGCTGTGAGGGACGCTTTTGCTGCTGCACTGGGAGCGGTGGTGGCTCTCGGCCTCAACCCTTCCGCTCAGGTCAGCTTTGCTGAGTGTTTGTGCTTGCTGTGTGTCTGTGAGCGAGGGAATGATAGAGCGGTAGTTTAAAGGGGAAGGGTGAAGAAAGTGGGAGCAAGTGAGCGAATGCTGTTTCTGATGTGTGTTCTTCTGGTTTGCTCCCTTGAACCTCCTTGCTTGCTCATGTCGTTCTGTCATGTCCTGTTCTTGCAAGAGAGCGTATGCACGGCGCACTGCACACACTCATGCGTGCATGTGTTTCTTATTTTGTGTGCACTGCATGTACGTATGTCACAATGTGTGTGTGTGTAATGCTTGCAGATTGTCCCCAGGGGCAAGTCGTCAGCAGCGCCCCCCAAGGCCATGGACAATGCCATTCAGAAGTACCTCACTACACCGTTTGTTCGAGGTGCGCCCCACTGCACTGAAGTCCACCACACCCTCTGCTGTCGGGTGAAGCACTGACATCTTCTTTTCTCCGCTTGAAGCATGTTATCATGGCTTCATGCGGAGCTGGCTGATAGAAGATTCTGTCTCCTGCTGCTTTGCATGGCTTCAGGCCTGCAGTTTGTTATTGTCTGAAAATCCATGTTTTGTGTGTGTGTGTGTGTGTGTGTGTGTGTGTGTGTGTGTGTGTGTGTGTTCTTCGCCTCTTTGTTCTCAACGAGCTTGAGTGTGCATGCACATGGGTGCACATGAGAGTGCTCTGCGAGTATGCATGCTTGTTTGCGCGCCTATCTGCCTGTGCTGTATGAGTGTGCAAATCCTCGTGTCTGCATGTGTGCATGTGTGCATGTACGTGTGTGCATGTACGTGTGTGCATGTCTGTGTGCATGTCTGTGTGCGTGTCTGTGTGCATGTCTGTGTGCGTGTCTGTGTGCATGTGTGCAGCCCCAGCATCGCGCAGCAAGGAGATCCGATTGGCCATTGCTATGGCATGGGTGGCGCTGCTCCAGGTGAGACATCTCAAAAGTCATCTACTTACACACGTCCCAGTGGTATGCAGCGCAGCCAGACCTGGTGCCCTTTGCCATGCATGCCCTTCTCGCAACCTATCACTCTAACTCTCCCCTCCCCCTCGATCTCTCCCCGCCCCCTCCCCCCCTTCCCTCCCTCCTCCCTCACCTTCCCCTCCCAGAGTCTGAGGGCGCAGTACGGGGTAGCGGACATGGACCTGGTGCCCTATGACATGCAGGCCCTGGCGATGTAGGGCCTTTTCGCAGCCCATCCCTCTAACCTCCCTCCGCCGCTCCTCTCTCCCTCCCCCCCCCCCATCAGAGTCTGAGGGCGCAGTATGGAGTAGCGGACATGGACCTGGTGCCCTATGGCATGCAGGCCCTGGCGCTGCTGCCCGCCTATGCTCGCTCCATTGACTCGCAGGCTCAGGTGCGAGCTGAGGAGGGACAGGGGAGGGGGAGAGGGAGATGGAAGGGATAGGGAGAGGGGAAGAGGAGGGGTGGTTTGTGTGGAATGGTGGCGTGCTGGATAGGGTTGGAGTGAGGTGGTGCGGTACGTGGTGGTGATAAGTGGTGTGACTGTGGTATGTGGTGGTGTGGATGGAATGAGGCGTTGCTGTCAGTGTGCAGGCGCGTGTGGGAAGGGGAAGCAGCCATAGATCGTCCAGCCATATGCACGTGGCAATCAGCAGTTGCTAAGGAACTTGCACGGAGGATTAACAGATGGATGTATGTTGTTGCTATGCCGGGTTGTGTGCAGGCATGTGCTCTCTACATTCTTCAAGTGGGCCTTGTGGAGCAGATGGGGGAGGAAGCACAGCGGGAGTTCACTCGAACCCTCACACACCAGGTGAGACTGTGGGGAGGAGGGGGGAGAGAAGGAGGAGGGAAGGTAGAGGATTGGAAAGAGGAGCGGAAGGGGATAAGGATGAAAAGGGAAGGACTGGTATGAGTCGATCCAAAGGAGGCCATGCCATGCATGGGTGGTTGGTCGTTCCAGCCCGCCGCCTGTAACACGTGTCTAGGTTGTGAGGTGATGTGATTGATCTCAGCCAAGCCTTTCAGGGGTGTTCACTCCCTTGACCCTTCCTCAGCCCAGCATCCTCCGTTTGAATGCATGGTGGTGCTGCGCTGGTGCCAATTCTGGTGTTGGGTATGGTATCAGCAGATGAGGTCCTGTGTGGTGTGGTGTGGTGTGGTGCGGTGTTGTGTGGCCGTCACACCACATGCGTACATGATCAACAATGCTGTGCTCTCACGCACACCCTGTTTTCTATCCAATTTACTCATCACATTTCACAACACACAATATGCACTTTCCCGGACCCCAGCAGCCTTTCTCTTTCCCCTTCACACTCCCCCAATTCTCCTCCTCCCCCACTTCTCCTCCTCCCCCACCCCTCCCCCCTCCTCGCTCCCCTTCCCACCCCTCGCCCACAACCTCTGCCCACAAGCGCAGCTGACAGCCAGTGACATGGGTCCGCACATGCTCGTTGCTGCTCTGCGCACGCTCTCCCACCTCCTCAACACGCTCGGCGAGGTCGGTGCTTGTTCTACACTCCCGTCCAACCAACTTCCAACCTGATCATCAGTAGTTGTAGAACCGAATCTGGTCAATCCTATCAGATGAGCCTTGAGAGTCGAAATGAGGTTTGAGCCGTGCTTTTGATATCTTTCAAAAGTACGAGTATCAAAGCAAAGGAAACGATTCGTGCTTATGCGTGCTCCCTTCCTCCATCCCCGATTCGTTTCCACTTGTGCACTCGTCGTCTTTCATGACTCGCTCCTCCCTGCCCTTGCATTCGCGTGCCTCAAGTTGCATCACCCTGCTGTGCTGTGCTGTGCTGTGCTGTGCTGTGCTGTGCTGTGCGGTGCGGTGTGGTGCTGTGCTGTGCAGGTCACGCAAGCAGCGAGAGAGGCACTGGACTATGGTCTGCTGGCAACTCTCTCCAACTCCTCTCCTGCTGTGCGTACTCCCCTGTGCGCCGCTCTGTGCTGTAGCTGGGCCGGGCTTCCACGCTAAATGACCTTTGGCTCTGTGAAGTCACGTCAGCACACGTAGCTGATGCTGTGTTATGTTCCCCATGCTTCCGGTTTACAATGAAGTACAATGCGTTCCTGCAGCGTGCTGTGTGCTGCTGCGTGTGTGATTTATGGGTTGTGCATGTGTGCTGTGCTCTGGTGCCTGCTTCCCTGCTGACGTTATCCCCTTGTTTTACCTGCACCCTTGCGTATGTGCCATGGGTATTGTTCCACTGGGTCTGGGCATGAGCCTGGCATGGGATTCGCTGCTTGATCGCTTTGTGATGGCATGGCACAACACGGTATGGCACAACAACTAACATGTCATGGCATGGCATGGCATTGCACTACACAACATGACACGCCATGGCACTACACAACACGGCATGGCACCACATGGCATGGAATGACATGACACATCACGGCATGGCATGGCATCAGGTGCGGGTGGAGGCAGCGCGCACCATCAAGGTGCTGGCGCAGGTGGACGCGTCCCGTGCCCACTCCTTTATCCTCTCCGGCTTCACTGCTCTCCGTGCGCTCAGGGAAACCATGAACACTGAGAAGGTGCGCCCTCCTCTGTCTGCTTATTTTTCATTTTTGAGGCACCTCAAAAGTCGTCCCGTGCCCACTCTTTCATCCTCTCTAGCTTCACTGCACTGTGTGCACTCAGCGAAACCATGAACACAGAGAAAGTGCGTGCACTTTCCTCCCTCTGCTCGTTCCTCATTGCCATTGGCTGGTCATGTAGATTGCCATGCCATGCCATGCCGTGCCGCGCACGCCATTCGTCACGCATAGTCTCACGATGTGCCCTGCGTTTCCTTCCGTATGGGCTCTCGGCATTGCAGTGCAATGCCCACTTTCCCTCACTTTGTTGCACCTGCAACCCACTACTTCGTGTGTGTGTGTGTGTGTCTCTGTGCATACCTGCAGGGCGAGCGTTTGAAGCTGACTCTAGACTCTCTGCATGGCCAAGCGCTCATGCTCTCCGCTCTGCTCGTCCTTGGGCCCAAGCTGCCCCTCGGTCTCCCTTCCAGGTGACCTAAACGATTTCTTCTTGCCCCTTGCTACTTGCCTCCTGCCCCTTGCCTCTTGTCCCGTGCCTCTTACCCTTTGCCTCTTACCTCTTTCCCTTCGCCTCTTGTTTCTCGTCTCTCGCCTCTCGTCTCTTGCCTTTTTGGCCTTGGAACGCCACATGTCTCTGCATTTTCGCTTTGAGTTGAGCGCGCCCAAGAATCTGAACTTCCTTATGATGCCATTGCCACCCATCAAACAGCTGCTGCTCTCTCCCTCCCCTTCCCTTCCCTAGTTCTTTTTAACTGGAAGGCATGCCATAACCCATTGTATCATCCCCTTGTTCCATCTTCCCCCCACCACTCTCGCCCCCGCCTCTCGTCCGAACTCTGTCTTCCCCACCCTCATCCCCCGCCGCCCTTCCCTCTCTCCCTGCAGTCTCTCGCTCTCTATCCTCGACATGGCACAGCAGATGGTGCTGTCGCCAGGCCAGCTGCCAGCAGCAGCAGCAGCAGACCACGAGGCAGGCTGGATCCTCATCGCCTCGCTGCTGCTCTCCATGCCCAAGGAGGTGGGTGCCTTGCTTCTTGCTCCTATCCTTTAGCTTGCTTCTTTCTCCTCTGAAGTAGTTTCTTACGTTCCCTCCTTCACTGGCCGGGCCCCATTGTCCTTTCTAATGCTCCATGCCAATCTTCATCAAAACTAGCCAAAAACCGGCTCATCCCGAACCGAAATCAAAGCCAAATTCCCCTCTCCCCTTTTGCCCCAACCTCCTATCCTCTCTCTCGCGTCTTGTCACGTGCGGTGGTGGCTGGCAGGAGGTGGCACGGAGGGAGGTGGAGTTTCTTGCGTTGTGGACCATGCCCTTTGGGGGCAGCTGCGCCGACCGAGTCAAGAGAATCGACGCTGCAAGCCTGCCTGGAGAGCTCAAGTGCGTTCCCGCTTTCTCCACCCGCAATCTTTGTTCCACTTGGTCGCTCCTCTTGTCGTAAAGTCTTCTCTGCGCTTGCCACTCTTTTAGCCGTTTCCACCGATCTTTTGTTCATTGTCGACATCAGTGAATTTATAGTTGGTCGAGTCGACCTTTGCATGTGTTTGTTTCTCGTCCGCTCATATCCATCCATCTTTTTCATGTGCACGCGTCCGCGCTTCAGCCATTTTCTCTCCAACAAGATTCCCACCTTTCCCTGTCCATAACATGATTCTTTCTTTCCCCCGTGACGTGTGTCAGCTGCTGGTCCGCACCGCATCCATGATGCGCTGCGCTGAGCGTTCAGTTTACAGCGACTGAGCCAATCTCTGAGCTTGTTAGACTTCTCAGTTTCGGTACCACCCCCCCTTGTCCCCCCCCTTCACATCTCACCCCACCCCTGTGACATCTCAGCTGCTGGTCCGCAGCCATGGATGCTCTGAGGGCGTTTATAGTGAGCTATGTGGTGCCCAACCTAGCAACTCCCTCTGTGGCCGAGACCATCAACCCCATCATGGGCTACCTCTCAGGGTACGTAGGCGTTGTAGTGGTGTAGCGGTGCTGTATGGGTTGCTCTGGAGGCGTTTTGAGTCGACTCAATCATTGAATGTGATAATTCTAAAAAGCGCCCTCTGTGGCCGAGACCATCAACCCCATCATGGGTACCTCTCAGGGTACGTAGTTGCTGCTGCTGGTGTAGGTGTTTCTGTATGAATTGAGTTTGGGTTACTGATGTGGAGTAGATTATTGCGTGAGGAGACTCATTGGTATGGGGGATACATCCTAAGGTTTGAATTGAGTTATTGTCTTATGGTTCCTGTCCCTCTTCCCTCTTCCTTTCGCTCATCCCCACCTCAGAGCACTGACGTACATCGCATCGTCAACCCTGGGCGAGGCGTCATCATCAGTGAAGCAGCACACGGAGCTCTTCATATTGCCCTGCCCTCCTTCCCCTTCTCTTTCTCCTCCCCGTCCCCCCCATTGTCCTCCCCACCTCACAGAGCACTGACATACATTGCATCGTCAACCCTGGGCGAGGCATCGTCATCGGTGAAGCAGCACGCGGAGCTCTTCATAGTGCCCTTCCCTCCTTCGTTTCCGTTCTCTTTCTCCTCCCCCTCCTCTTTCCCCTTGCTTCCCCACCTCACAGAGCACTGACGTACATTGCGTCATCAACCCTGGGCGAGGCGTCGTCATCAGTGAAGCAGCACGCGGAGCTGTTCATAGTGCGCACGCTCAACACCTTCCACGCGTTGCCCGACCCCGCACTCTACCGCCACCTGCACCCCATGCTCATCGACATCTGCACCGCTCCCTTCCGGTACTGCCACTGCCACACCTTATGAGGCGCCTCGAAAATAGATAGACCTCGCAGTGCGCAGCGCACACTCAACACTTTCCATGCACGGCCGGCCTGGGCCCCTGCACCCCATGCTCATCGACGTCTGCACCGCTCCCTTCCGGTACTTCCCTTGCTTGGTCCCTTCCATGTCACTGTCCTTAAGCCGTTCTCCTGCTACCGTGTCCGCCATGGCCCTCTCCTCGTTCTTGCCACCCTACCAATCCACCGTTGTTCCCCTCATTAGTTTACAACCTCCCTCTTTCCCCCATCTCAACCCCACTTTTCTCGCCCACTCTTCCCCCACCACCCTGCCACCCTCAGAGAAACGGCATCATACCCCAGCAGCTCTCTCCTCCGCACTCTGCTAGAGCCCAGTGACTCCAATCTTGGCCCCTGGTTCCCGGGAAGGTCAGCTTCCCTCCATTCCCTGTTCCGTCTCTTGTTCCCTCTCTCCCTCGCTCCAGCTTTCTAGCCTGTCAACGACATGTTTGCCCCTTGCAGTGTCTGGTGGATGCATGTACACAGCACTGTGTACACACACACTTGCCTACATACGCATATGCATACAGAACCGCCAGTTCATATGCATGTGCATGTGTGCCGCTGTGTGTGTGCATTTGTCCGTGTGTGTGTGTGAGCGTGTGCGAGCATGTGTGTGAGTGCGTGTGTGTGAATGTTTGCATGCATGTGTGTGTGTGCATGTGCATGTGCGTGTGCATGCATGTGCGTGTGCGTGTGCGTGAGTGTGTGCTATCACACAGGGATGTGCTGGAGGACGAGTTACGTGCGCTGGAGGGTGGCATGGATGGGGTCATTGCGTCTGTCTGGGAAGATGACACCTCCACCTTCCCACAGGTGCAACCCCCCGTTGTGCTTATATGATATCTCACATGCACACACCTACGCACTCTACACACCCCACACACCCTACACACCCCACACACTCCACACACCCCACACACCCCACACCCCACACACCCCACACATCCTACACACCCGGCGCCTCCTTCTCTCTCCTGAAGCTAGCAGTGCAGCTACCACAGAACTCTTTCTCACCTTGGGCTCAACTTCGCTTCCCGTCCCCACTTTTGCCCCCCACCCGCTACTTAACACCCTGCACAATTTCCCATGTTCAGCCTCTCATTAACCCCTCGCCTCCATGCCTGACGCCCCCTTCCCTTTCTCCATCTCTTCCCCATCATTCCCCGCATCGCCATGGCACCGCCACTGCAGTCCGTGCCTCTGGGAGTGGCTCTAGTCGACTTAATGCTACGCTGCTTCATCGCGCTCTTCCCCATCCAGGTGCCACCATACCATATGCTCAATGCCCCATGCCCCATTCTGCATGCCCCATCCCCCATGTCCCATGTCATGTGCCCCATGCCCCATGCTCGCCCATGCCCCATGCCCCAGACACAGTGCTGCACACCCCATGGCGTATGCCCCATAAGCTAATTCATTAACACTGTCAGCCGTTTCATATGCAATAGCCCTTGGGTTAACCTGCTGATAACCTGCTGCAAGCCTGCTGATGTATACAGGCACTCCAATTCCATGCATGCCTTCCCAATGAATGTAATCAAAACACCCCGTTCTTTCGCCCATCCCCGTGCCCCACGTGCCCGCATCGCAGGTTCCAATGTCCAAGGTGGCGCTGGTGGATACCCTGTCTGTGGCGGTGAAGGGCAACAAGCGCCAGGCTCTGCGTCTTGAGTCGACTCAAAATACTCAAAACACCCCGTTCTTTCGCCCATCCCCGTGCCCCACGTGCCCGCATCGCAGGTTCCAATGTCCAAGGTGGCGCTGGTGGATACCCTGTCTGTGGCGGTGAAGGGCAACAAGCGCCAGGCTCTGCGTCTTGAGTCGACTCAAAATACTCAAAACACCCCGTTCTTTCGCCCATCCCCGTGCCCCACGTGCCCGCATCGCAGGTTCCAATGTCCAAGGTGGCGCTGGTGGATACCCTGTCTGTGGCGGTGAAGGGCAACAAGCGCCAGGCTCTGCGTCTTGAGTCGACTCAAAATACTCAAAACACCCCGTTCTTTCGCCCATCCCCGTGCCCCACGTGCCCGCATCGCAGGTTCCAATGTCCAAGGTGGCGCTGGTGGATACCCTGTCTGTGGCGGTGAAGGGCAACAAGCGCCAGGCTCTGCGTCTTGAGTCGACTCAAAATACTCAAAACACCCCGTTCTTTCGCCCATCCCCGTGCCCCACGTGCCCGCATCGCAGGTTCCAATGTCCAAGGTGGCGCTGGTGGATACCCTGTCTGTGGCGGTGAAGGGCAACAAGCGCCAGGCTCTGCGTCTTGAGTCGACTCAAAATACTCAAAACACCCCGTTCTTTCGCCCATCCCCGTGCCCCACGTGCCCGCATCGCAGGTTCCAATGTCCAAGGTGGCGCTGGTGGATACCCTGTCTGTGGCGGTGAAGGGCAACAAGCGCCAGGCTCTGCGTCTTGAGTCGACTCAAAATACTCAAAACACCCCGTTCTTTCGCCCATCCCCGTGCCCCACGTGCCCGCATCGCAGGTTCCAATGTCCAAGGTGGCGCTGGTGGATACCCTGTCTGTGGCGGTGAAGGGCAACAAGCGCCAGGCTCTGCGTCTTGAGTCGACTCAAAATACTCAAAACACCCCGTTCTTTCGCCCATCCCCGTGCCCCACGTGCCCGCATCGCAGGTTCCAATGTCCAAGGTGGCGCTGGTGGATACCCTGTCTGTGGCGGTGAAGGGCAACAAGCGCCAGGCTCTGCGTCTTGAGTCGACTCAAAATACTCAAAACACCCCGTTCTTTCGCCCATCCCCGTGCCCCACGTGCCCGCATCGCAGGTTCCAATGTCCAAGGTGGCGCTGGTGGATACCCTGTCTGTGGCGGTGAAGGGCAACAAGCGCCAGGCTCTGCGTCTTGAGTCGACTCAAAATACTCAAAACACCCCGTTCTTTCGCCCATCCCCGTGCCCCACGTGCCCGCATCGCAGGTTCCAATGTCCAAGGTGGCGCTGGTGGATACCCTGTCTGTGGCGGTGAAGGGCAACAAGCGCCAGGCTCTGCGTCTTGAGTCGACTCAAAATACTCAAAACACCCCGTTCTTTCGCCCATCCCCGTGCCCCACGTGCCCGCATCGCAGGTTCCAATGTCCAAGGTGGCGCTGGTGGATACCCTGTCTGTGGCGGTGAAGGGCAACAAGCGCCAGGCTCTGCGTCTTGAGTCGACTCAAAATACTCAAAACACCCCGTTCTTTCGCCCATCCCCGTGCCCCACGTGCCCGCATCGCAGGTTCCAATGTCCAAGGTGGCGCTGGTGGATACCCTGTCTGTGGCGGTGAAGGGCAACAAGCGCCAGGCTCTGCGTCTTGAGTCGACTCAAAATACTCAAAACACCCCGTTCTTTCGCCCATCCCCGTGCCCCACGTGCCCGCATCGCAGGTTCCAATGTCCAAGGTGGCGCTGGTGGATACCCTGTCTGTGGCGGTGAAGGGCAACAAGCGCCAGGCTCTGCGTCTTGAGTCGACTCAAAATACTCAAAACACCCCGTTCTTTCGCCCATCCCCGTGCCCCACGTGCCCGCATCGCAGGTTCCAATGTCCAAGGTGGCGCTGGTGGATACCCTGTCTGTGGCGGTGAAGGGCAACAAGCGCCAGGCTCTGCGTCTTGAGTCGACTCAAAATACTCAAAACACCCCGTTCTTTCGCCCATCCCCGTGCCCCACGTGCCCGCATCGCAGGTTCCAATGTCCAAGGTGGCGCTGGTGGATACCCTGTCTGTGGCGGTGAAGGGCAACAAGCGCCAGGCTCTGCGTCTTGAGTCGACTCAAAATACTCAAAACACCCCGTTCTTTCGCCCATCCCCGTGCCCCACGTGCCCGCATCGCAGGTTCCAATGTCCAAGGTGGCGCTGGTGGATACCCTGTCTGTGGCGGTGAAGGGCAACAAGCGCCAGGCTCTGCGTCTTGAGTCGACTCAAAATACTCAAAACACCCCGTTCTTTCGCCCATCCCAGTGCCCCACGTGCCCGCATCGCAGGTTCCAATGTCCAAGGTGGCGCTGGTGGATACCCTGTCTGTGGCGGTGAAGGGCAACAAGCGCCAGGCTCTGCGTCTTGAGTCGACTCAAAATACTCAAAACACCCCGTTCTTTCGCCCATCCCCGTGCCCCACGTGCCCGCATCGCAGGTTCCAATGTCCAAGGTGGCGCTGGTGGATACCCTGTCTGTGGCGGTGAAGGGCAACAAGCGCCAGGCTCTGCGTCTTGAGTCGACTCAAAATACTCAAAACACCCCGTTCTTTCGCCCATCCCCGTGCCCCACGTGCCCGCATCGCAGGTTCCAATGTCCAAGGTGGCGCTGGTGGATACCCTGTCTGTGGCGGTGAAGGGCAACAAGCGCCAGGCTCTGCGTCTTGAGTCGACTCAAAATACTCAAAACACCCCGTTCTTTCGCCCATCCCCGTGCCCCACGTGCCCGCATCGCAGGTTCCAATGTCCAAGGTGGCGCTGGTGGATACCCTGTCTGTGGCGGTGAAGGGCAACAAGCGCCAGGCTCTGCGTCTTGAGTCGACTCAAAATACTCAAAACACCCCGTTCTTTCGCCCATCCCCGTGCACCACGTGCCCGCATCGCAGGTTCCAATGTCCAAGGTGGCGCTGGTGGATACCCTGTCTGTGGCGGTGAAGGGCAACAAGCGCCAGGCTCTGCGCGTCTCTGCCACTGCCAATGCCTGTGTGGTGGTGGTTGGCACTCTTAAGGTAAGTTTCGCGCTCATGTCCGGTGGTTGGGTGTGTGTGTGGGGAGGGGGAAGGTGGGGGGGGGGGGGGGAGGGCGTGCTTGCAGTGAAAGCTCACGAAGCATATACACACACAGACCTGCTCCTCTGTATGACCTGCGTTCACCCCACCTCAATCTACTACCCGTTTCCCCCAGTTCCTTCCCCCTCATTGAATTTCCCCTCTCCTCCCTCCCCTCCCCCCCCCCTACTGTTGAGACGCCTCAAGGCCCTCCCTACTCCCTCCCTCCTCCCTCCCGCCCCCTCCCTTCTCCCCACCTCCCCGTATTTGCCTCCCTGTTCTACCACACCGCTTGCATCAGGCCATGGTAGCGCGCAAGGCAAAGGAGGAGGATGCAGAGACCCTGCGTCGCATCCAGGCGCTGGTTCAGGTAGGCTGGCGCATCCATGATCCACCCACGTGAAGGACCCTTATTTCGTAACTACTTTCTTCCTGAGCAGTGAGTTGCTTGAACTGTTTCGTTCTGCTCGGAAGCGAGCCAAGTCAACCTCCTAAGGAAGTTGTCGTTTCGTTGACTGGGAAACCCGCTGCTTAGGCTGCTGCCCACATGTCCTTCCACCAGTTTGTTGTCTTTTTCTTTCTGCCCGTTTTGTCGCTGTCACAGCCGTTCTGATGTGTACGGGTGCCCTGTCGAACCTCCTCTTTTTTTTTTTTTTTTGTCACCCCCCACCCCACTCCTCCTCTAGTTCCTTCTCTCCACCTCTCTCCCCCTCATGCAATCTCATCCCACTCACCCCCTCTCGTCCCTCTCGCCCCTCTCTTCCCCTCTCTTTCTCTTTCTCCCCCTCTCGCCTACCCTTTCCTCTCTCTTCCCCCCTCTCTCTCCCCCTCTCCCCCCCGCTACAGAGCTTTGTGGCGAGTGACCCGACCAACCCAGCGTTCAAGAGGGCGTCAGCAGAGGCCTTGGGCCTGCTGGCTCGCCTGGGAGACGACCTCTTTGCTGTGCGCCTGGTGAGACTTCTCATCCGAGACGTCTCAAGATGGCCCCGGGCTGTTGTTTGCTTGTGTGTTGCTGGGCGCCTCAAAATTGGCTCGCTGGCTAGCCTGGGTGACAAGACAAAAGAACTCTTTGTTGCCGGCCTGGTGTGACTACAGACCTGAGACGTTTGAAGAGGCCCTTGGTCTGTTTGCTTGCCTGGGAGATAGTCTCTTTACTGCCGTGGCTGCAATATCTGAGCCAGAAAACGTCTTGTCTGTCTCTCTCATTCTTTCTCACACCCTGTCTATCTGTGTTCATTCTATACACTCCCTTTTTGCCCTCCTTTCATTTCTCTCAACCTTCCCTCCTTCCCCTATCCTCCCCCCTCCCTCTCCCCCCCATGTCCTTCTCTCCCCGGCTATGCGCCCTCTCAGATCCGTTCTCTGCTGGCCGAGGGGGAAGCGGCCACTGACCCCTCCACTAGGGCAGCTGTCGCTCTCGCATTCGGATCAGTGCTCCGCAGGTCAGTTGCGCTGCATACCCTCCATGTCTCGTTTTATTTCTCGTACCCTCCCCGCTGCTCCCTCCTCCTCCCCCTCCTCCCTCCCTCCTCGCTGCTCACACCTCTCTCGCCTGTCTTTGTTCTTCCATTGCAGCCCCACAGAGGTTGGGAGTGAGCCATTTTTCACCTTTCACATGCCGTGTCCCGCTTATCTCCCCTCACCCTCTTTGATTGTCCCATTGATACCTTTCCCTGTGGTGCTACTCTTCTCCGTATGCCTCCCTCTTGTACTTCCCTAGTGTGGGCTGTATAGCGCTGTCGTCTCGTGTCCCTATTGGTGCAGTTCCTTATGCTGTGGCTCCTTATTGCCCCTTTTCCCCATCATCCCACTTCCCCTTCCCCAGTGAGGGTGGCATAGAGCTGTTGTCCTTTGTTTCCCCGTTTGTGCAGTTCCTTATGGCCATGGCACGTGCCATTGCCCATCACGCCCCCCTCTCCCGCTTCTTTCTTTCCGCTCTTCTCCGATATCCCTACCCCATTCTCAGTGTGGGTGGCATAGCGCTCTCATCCTTCATCTCCCCAGTGGTGCAGTTCCTAATGGCCATGGCGCGTGCACCAGGAGAGCACCTGGGGCACATCTGGGCTCTGCACGCGCTCTGGCTTGCTGCCGACGCCGCTGGCCTCTCGTACACTCCCCATGTACAGGTGAGGTTTTCCCCGTGTTTATTCTCCCTCTTCCTACCACTTACTCCCTCTTTCTTCCTCTTCCTCCCTCCTCCTTCCCCTTCCTCCCCCTTCCTCCCCTTTCCTCCCCCTCTTTTCCTGTGCTGGGCCACGGATATTTATGCGCCCTTGATAAGCCTTTCAAATGAAAACTCGATCAACCTTGTCACGTTGGCAAAATCTGCTACTAACGAATGTGCTTCGATTCACGTGAGACAGTGTGACTTCCCCCATCCGCCCAATAATTGCTCGTGTGCGACACCCTCCTGTGTGCGCACCCCACATACTCATTCTCCCATCCCCACCATGTCCCCCCAGGCTACCCTGTCGCTGCTGTTGGACAAAAACGTCGCAGCAGGCAGGCCTACTCACACACATACACTGAGTGATCGCTTATGTGCTCCGTGCTCTCCTGTAAACCCATGTGTGCACCCCACATACTCATCCCCTCATCCCCACCATACCATGCCCCCCCAGGCCACCTTGTCGCTGCTGATGGACGTGCTGCTGTCAGACGACCACGTGGCAGCGGGCCTGCCTCCATGCGCCCAGCAATCGTTTCTGTATCCCCCCATACCCCCCATCCCTCCATCCCACCACCATGTCCCCCCAGGCCACCTTGTCGCTGCTGATGGACGTGCTGCTGTCAGACGACCACGTGGCAGCGGGCTTGCCTCAGAGCGTGGCTCGTCTGGTCAACGCCCTCGTGGCCGTCTTTGGCCCTGAGCTGCTCCCAGGCTCTACGGTCTTCTACCGCTGCAAGGTGAGTTCTGAAACGTCTCAAAACTCGATTTTGAGGCGTCTCAAAGCCTTCTTCAGAGAGCGTGGCTCGTCTGGTCAATGCCCTGGTGGCCGTCTTTGGCCCTCCCGAGCTGCTTCCAGGCTCCACGGTTTTCTACCACTGCAAGGTACCAGGTTGCACTTTCCTGCTCTTACTGGCTCACTCACTGTTCACCAAGCTACCCTCCTCTTTTTCTCTATGAATGCAATGCAACTCACTAACCAAATGGGGCCCTTCTCTTTCTCTCTCTTTCTCTCTCCTTCCGTCTCTTTCTCTCTCTTCTTCCCTTGCCTGCCGGTTCTGGAATGGAATGCGCTCCATGTGACAGTGTATTCTGGACGACATCAGCCAGAGAAACGACCCTGCTGCACAGCTAGAGTAATCCACCCTGCTGCATTCTTTATCTCCTTCTCTTGTTGTGTCGTTCCCCCGACGCCCCCTCCCACATCTCTCCAGTCCCCTCCTCCGCTCCCTCTCCCTCCCACCCCCACCCCCTCCCCCTCTCCCTCCCATTCTCCCTCCCATTCTTCCTCCTCTTCTCTCCGCCTTCAGAATTTCTGCTCTTTGCCCTAACTCTTGTCAAGAAGTTTAAAGAATATCCTGTCCCAAATTCATGCATCCATCCTCCTCCTAACTCACCCCCCCAACCCCCCCTCTCCCCCCCCCCTCTTCCCCCCCTTGTCTGCCCTCCCATGCTCTCAGGTGTGTGCTGTACACACAGCAGCTGGTGCTGTTTGCGCCTCAGGCCATGCCTCTGCACCACCATGTTACCACCCTCCGCGCCACCCTCACCTCCCGCCAGGTGCCATCCCATCCCATGCCATCCCATGCCATCTCATGTCACGCCAGGCCATGCCATGCCATCCCATGCCAAGCCGTGCCATTTGTTCCTTTCCCATCTGAACTCCACTTGCCCTCCACCTTTCATTTTCCCCATGTTCCCTCGATGGCCACTGTCTGCTCACCTCCCTTTCCTCACCTCAGCGCTTTGCCTTTCTTCCCGTTGTTCTCGTGACTTAATTTTTTGTTCTACGTGCCCTTAAAAACCTTAAGGGTAAATGCCTTAAGGCCATGCACAAGTCAGGGTAAATGAGTCAGGGTAAATGCCTCCTGCCTCACAAGATCTCCATAATTCCCATTTCTTTCGCCTTACACCTTGTTTTTCTGGCTTTCGACCCCTTGCAACCCTTTTTTAACCCATGCAGCCGAGTTTGCGGTTTGCTGCCATTTCCACTCTGCGTCACATGTGTGAGAGAGAGCCGGTAAGCACCTCCCTTGTTTGCGCTTCCTGTCAGCGTCTGGCTTTTCTTGTAGAATGGATTCTTCTCATACCTCGCAGTATCAAGTGTCAGTTAACTTTTCCTCCACTCCTGCACTCACTTTTACATTACATTCCTTTTAGCAGAAGTGAAAAACTGTAGTTTGATGTAACAAACAATGCTAATTTTTTCCCAATCTGTGTTGTGTTCCTCCAACCCTTCACCCCCACCCCACCCTCTCATGCTATACATGCTCGGTGATGTGGTTCTACGTGCTGCACCTGTGACCTTCTCTGCTGTTGCTCCTGCTGTCAGGCGGCCATGGTATCAGAGCAGATAGAGGAGGACCTCTTCTCCATGCTTGACAACGAGACGGACCCCAGGTGTGTGTGCGCACATGCGTGCCGTGCATGCGTGCATGGGGCGGGTGTGCATTTGCGCATGGGGCAGGGTGGGGGCCAGGGCAGATATGCATGGGTGTATGATGTCACCCCCCCCCCCCCCCCCCCCCCCCCTCCCTCCCCCTCCCCCTCCCCCTCCCCTCCCCCCCCCCCCCCTTTTTTTTCTTCTTCTTTGGGTTCCTTTGTTCCTGTCGTTTCCTCACACGCCCTTTGCTTTGTCTGCATCACTGGCCAGGGGCATATCCGGTGTGTGCATGGCCTTAAGGGCGACTCCTGCCTGGAGGCTGCGTGATCTTTGAGGCGCCTCAATAATGATTTTCCTTTGTTTCCATCCCTCTTCCCACCAAATGCCCATTCTTTGTCTGTCTGCATCACTGGCCAGGGTCATATCTGGTGTGTGCATGGCCTTGGAGCGACTGCTAGAGGCTGCATGCCCCACATACCCCAGTCGATGGCTTCGCCTCTGCAAGAACGTGGTATGTACGCCATACTAGTGCTACCTCTTCACGATTTCCTGTTGCAAAATCTCCTTCCCCCTCTCTCACTTCCCTCAGCTTCGTCTGCTCTTCTTTCCTCTTTCCAGAAGTTGTTTGTTGCCGCTGTAGATAGCTCCTCCTTAGAGCTTTCTTCCTGTGTAGCCATGAATCATGGAGATTTTTTCTCGTGTGAGTCTCCGGGTTCCGTATCAGCTGCCTCGTTTTTTCTCCCCCACCCTCTCCACCCTCTCCGCCCCATTCCTCCATGCCCCTTTCCACGCCTCTCCTCTTCCCCTAAAACCGCGCTACCCACCCACCTGTGCCTCGTCCTTCCCACCCACCCCTGGCGTATCATTTTCTTTCAGGTGCTAGCAGCGTCTGCCACTAGGAGAGCAGGCGAGGCAAAGGAAGTCGCAGGGGAGGGGCGGAAGGGGGAAGCAGGGGAGGACGAGGAGGATGATGAGAGTATGGTGGCGGCAGGGGGGGATGGAGCGCGCACAGGGGGAGCAGCAGGAGCTGGGGCGGGGGCAGGGGGAGCGGGAGGGGGAGGAGGAGCGGGGAAAGGAGGCGGGGCGGGGATAGGTGGAGGGACACCGATTGGGGGCGTGGGAGGAGGGGGAGGAGGGGCAGTGAGGAGGGGAGTGGATCAGCTGCCAAGGTTCAGGACGAGAGTGTTTGCGGCAAAGTGAGTTCTTCATGGGGTGTTTTGCCCTTCGCAGCTGGTGTGTCTTCTCCCTTAGGCTCCACGTCACCCGCCCAGGTGTCTCTCCCAGCTGCCCTACCTGGTGGGCTGGACCCTGTTCACTTCGATTCTTCTTCCCAGTCAACTCAAGAGTCCTCTATCCCACTCTTCTTCAGCGAAGCGAACAAGGCGGCCTGTCCCTCCTGCCACCCTCCCGTCGTCGCGACGCCCAGGTGCATCTCCCGGCTGCCCTACATGGTGGGTTCGAACCCTGCTCACCTTTATGTGTTCTCCAGAACTAACTTAAACACTCTTTTCCCTTTCGCCCTTGCGTCATCCCCTGCACCTGCTCCCTGCGTTTTGTCCCCTGCTGCGCCCAGGTGTCTATCCTGGCTGTCTTACGTGGTGGGCTCTGACCCTGCTCACTCTAAAGTGCTCTTCAAGACAAATCTAAACACTCTCTCTCCTTTCGCCCTTGCGTCGTCCCCTGCACGTGCTCCCTGCGTGTTTTTCGCCCTTGCGTCATCCCCTGCCTTGCCCAGGTGCCTCTCCCGGCTGCCCTACATGGTGGGCTCCGACCCTGCTCACTTTGATGTGTTCTCCAAGACAAATCTAAACACGTTCTCTCCTTTCGCCCTGCTGCACTTCCTCCCTGCGCTTTATCCCCTGCCGCGCCCAGGTGTCTTTCCCGGCTGCCCTACATGGTGGGCTCCGACCCTGCTCACTTTGACATCACTGTCGCAAAACATAAAGTGGACGCGAGGAGGCAGGCCGGCCGCGAGAGTGGAGGGGGCAGTGCACAGCAGGCGGACTGGCTCGTGCTGCATCTGGGTGACCTCGTGGCTGTGGCCTTCCAGGTGGGCTCTCAGAGGCTTTGTGAGGGTGGGCACGTGTGTGAAGGGGCAGAGAGGGACAGTGGGGAAGAGTGGGTTCACGTGTTTAGGCATCTCAAAGCTCCGTCTCTCTTGCTTTTCCCTCTCACGTCTTTCCTGTCTCGTCCTCGGAGTGCTGTCCTTCCACCATATCCTACCCATCCTTATCCCTCTATATCTCCCTCACCGTCACCTCTTCCACCTCCGTTTCTCTCACCACCCTACTTCCTTCTTTAAGCTTAAGACGTCTCAAACCTCCACCCCCCACCCTCCGCCCCCCGCCCTCTGCCCGCCACCATGCCCTCCCGACGCCTCTCCCAGATGGCAACAGGAAGCATGGAAGGCGTTCGCCCCATGGGGGTGTCTCTCCTTGGGACCATACTGGACAAGGTGCGTGTGTTCCCCCACGAGCGGGATACTCTCTGCTCTCTTCCGCTCCATGCTCCCCCGCCCCGTTCCGCTCCGCCCTGCTCTGCTCCGCCCTGCCCCGCTCCATTCTGCTCTGCTCCGCTCTACGCTCCTTGCTCTTTGCTCTCTTCCCGCTGCTCCCCGCTCGCTTCAAATGCCTCTTCTTGAGCAGTCTAGGCGTGGTATTCGTAATATTCAGCACCAGGCTCTTCTTCCTTCCTGCAGCTCTCCTCTCCTCATCTCCCCCTCTCCCATCTCATTCTCCCCCTCTTTCCCTCCCTGTCCGCTCTGCCCGTCGTCCTGGCTGATGCAGTTTGGTCACACAGAGGATCCAGACTTTGAGGGCCACATTCTGCTCGAGCAATACCAGGTACGTACATTATAGATTCCCTTCTTTTGATTTGAAGATCCTCTGCCCGTCTTGCTGTTGCTGGCTGATTATGTTCCATGACACAGAGGATGCTGACTTAGGGACGAAATCTGGTCGTCTAGTACCTCCAGTTAGGTTCTACTACCAGTTGTCTACTACGAAACCACACAACACCACCCCCTTTCCTCTTCTGTCCCTGTCTGTACATCTGTGCGTCCCACTCCACCCCACCAGGCTCAGTATGTGTCCACGGTGCGCACAGCCATGGATGCTGCCAACAATCCTCTGCTGCTGCTGGCAGGTGCCAGGCTGGCAGATAAGGTCAGAGCTCCTGCCCTGCCCACCATCCTCTTGCGCTACTCTGGTTTCTGTTTCTCAGAGAGTACTCGTGTGCTGTTTGCGTGCTGTGCTCTAGGCTTGGTGCATGCATGCATGTAGTGTTTGCATGTGGTTTGTGTGGTGCCCATGCCAGTAGCCATGCCCATGCCCATGCCTATGCCCATGCCGCTGCCCATGCCCATGCGCACCTTGTATGCTCCCTTCCCTGCATGTGTTCTCCATATGCTCCCTCAATATTCACCCACTTCCCATTCCCCCCTGCCCCGTTTGTTCCCTCCCTGTATATCCCACCCTCTTTCCCCACATCCTCTCTCTGTGTCACATGACCAGGTTGTGAGCGGCAGGTTAAGAGGCTCAGACGAATCTGTGGTGCCACGTGTCATGACCCTGTTGGCCACGCCCCTCAGCAAGTGGGATGCCCTTGGCAACTGGTCCTATGCAGAATGGGTTGGCTTCAAGGTCAGCTCCCCTCCCCTTTCTCTTGTTCACGTTCTATCAACTCAAAATGCACGTTCAAGTTCAGCTTGTATCCATTGTTTTCGTACCAGCAGCAGTTTGTCACAGCCCACACTTATTCCTCCCCCTCTTCACTATCTCTTCAGTCATGTCCTCCGCTACCCCTCAGCATCATTTCATCCCTCTCAATCCTTCTATGCAAGTCCACCCTTCTGCACCCCCAACCCCCCCACCCCCCACCTACACACCTCCACAGGTGAAGGTCGAGCTAGTGGTGCGGCACGCCCGCCTCAAGTCCCTCACTCTCTCCACCTATAACGTCCACTCCTCCATGCCACACATCTCCATACAAACCTCCCCACGCCCCCTTGTGCCCTTATCCACCACTCCCCACCGCACCCCCACAGGTGAAGGTCGAGCTAGTGGTGCGGCACGCCCGCCTCAAATCCCTCACTCTCGCCTCCTACGACGCGCAACTCGCCGCCGCAGGCGCCCCTGCCACAGCAGCCACTCCCGAAGCCGGATACGACTCAGAGGACGAGCATTTCGAGTCCGACACACGTCTCGCCGCCCTCCGTAAAGTGCGAGCGGCGGTCGAGCAAACCCCCGACTTGCTCGTGTCCCACTGGGTTGCCCTTCTGCGTGACTACCTCGCCGCGTTCTCCCTCGAGCCAAACGTGCAGGCGGTGTATCGGTCCTCGTACGCTGCTGAGATGTCTCCGTCCATGCTCCCGTTGATCAAACGGTACCTTCTCGCGTCGTCCCCGGTTGTTCTAGATGCTGTTACTGTAGGCGTCAAACCCAACCTGTCTGCGGCGAAGGAAGCAGCTGCGGCAGCGGCTGCTGCAGCCGCTGCAGCTGCGGCAGCAGATGCCGAGGCAGCCGCAGCGGCGGCGGCTGCGGCAGGTTCGGGGGTGACGATTCTCGCTCCTGTCTTCGCAGTAGGTCCTAGCTCGGCTGGGTCTAAAGGCCCTCCTAGTGCCACATCGTATGGGGGCATCGATCCGAAGCAGTTTCACCAGCTATGGGCTGCTTGCCTGTATGCCATCTGCCATCCCGCTGGAGATAAGACCAGTGGTGCTGGTTCTGGGGAAAACGGAGGGGCAGAGGGGTCAAGGAGAACATCGGAGGATGGGCAGCAGGGGCAAGAGCAGCAGGAGGGGGGGCATGAGCAGCAGGAGCAGGGGGGCGAGGTGGTGATAGGGGATTTCTTGCAAGCGGATGCGTCGTTGGGCTGCAAGGGAGGCAGCAGCGAGGCGGTTGTTGGGGAGGGGAGGAGTGTGGCGCTGCGGGCGTTGGGGCGGTTGATGCAGCGGGAGCTCTTTGGGGGTGACTTCATCGAGGAAGAGGACTGCCTGGAGCTGTTGCAGGTGAGGATGAGTGGGTGGGCTCCAAGGTGACTTTTGAGTCGACTCAAACGTCAGCAGGAGTTCTTTGAGGGTGACTTTATCGAGGAGGAGGATTGCCTAGAGCTGCTGCAGGTGAGGAAGGGGCTCTTATCTGCACAAGATACAACTACTTTCAAGTCTGATTACCAAGCTTGAACGTACAATAGAATGTAATTTCCCTCCTCTTCTTGCACTTTTCCTCCGTGAGTATCTTCCCATCGCTATGCTCTGGCACTCCCGCTTGTTCCCGCCTGTTCCTGCTTGATCGTGCGTGTGTGTCGCTCAGGTCATTGCGTCAGTGATGGAGGATGGAGACATGGCGCTCAAGGCACAGGCACTGGACGTACTCACCAAGGTAGCATGCCTTTTTCAGCACAAAGGGCGACTTTTGAGGCACCTCAAAACAAAAGATCTTATTGGCGGGCCTGAAATATCGATAGTCTTGGGGTGCTTCAAATTTCAGGGCACAGGCACTGGATGTACTCACCAAGGAAGCTTCCGTTTTCAGTACCAAGGAAGGACGGACGGCTTCTATATGCCATCATAACATGCAGCCCTTTTCGTCCCCACCCTTGTTCCCCTTGTCGCTCACCCTCTGTGCTTTCCTCATTCGCGCTTTCGATCCCCACCTTGCGCCTTCCTCCCCTCTACCTTTCCGTTCTGCATTCACCATGCTCCCTCCCAGTTTCATCCTTAAACATCCATCTCCCCCCCGCCCCCCTTCTGCCTCTCCCCACCTCTTTTCCCCTCTTCCCTTTTCCTCCCCAGTTCATGGCATGCGCACCAGACGCCCTGATCTCCAACTTGGACATTGTATCAGCTGCCCTGGCGGCATGCATGCACCTGCTGCACTCTGCCCTGCACTCTGCCACTGACAGCACCAGGTAAGAAAGAGTCCCTTAGAGGCCCGCCATTAGGGAGGGTTCACTTAGAGACCCTTACAGGCTTGAGCTGCTTCACCAAAACGCTTTGGTATTGCGCTGAGATGTATGGTAGTCGCGGACAGTGCCAGGTGTCACGGTCGGCCCTTGTTTTCACTGACAGCAATAGGTGCAGCGCAGTGCAGTGCAACTCGTGAGATGAACACCTTTGCATGGAGTGGAACCGCCCTGTCAGTCACACCATGCCTCTTCCACCTTGTCTTTCTTCTTCCACGTGGGTCTTCCTCTGCCTTGGATGCACTGTGCTTTGCTCATCTGCACTTGCTGTCTCTCGCAACACCTGCTTCTCTTGCACTCACTCACTCCCACACAGCCCTTTGAGGACTCACTTCATACTGCATGCCCCTACCTTTTGTCCCCTCCCTCCCCCCTTTCCCCCATCAGTGAATCCACTGCCTCGCTGTCAGCAGCAGAGGCATCGCTGCTCATCTCTGCTCTCAAGCTCGTCGCCTCCATCGCCCCCCGCCTCTCCTCCCAGGTAACAACCCCACCCCATTCGTCTTCGTCCCTCTTGTAGCACTCCTAGAATCACTTGCCCCGATTCTTACAAACAATCATTGCCCTCTGCCATGCTATCTGCAATGCCGTCTGCCATGCTATGTGCTACCTGCTTCTGTGCAGAGGCTCTATTTTTGCTGCTGCTTCTGTCAAGCAGAATCACCACCTACGTTTGCTGCATCTTGGCTTGTGTTGTGCTTGTACTCCTGTATTCCTTCCACCACTCCCACGGCTTCAAACTGTTCTCCTGCACGGCACCCATGACTTCTAAGCCTCCTCAGGAGCTATTGTTAACAGATTTTCAATCACTGCATTCCTGCAACCCACCCCTTGCCCGCACCTGCAACCCACCCCGCCAGGGCAAGGTACTTCTGCTACCCAGCATCATGACCACGTGCCTGCGCCTGCTGCGCTCTGCTCCACTCTCTGATTCCTCCTCCTTCGACCAAGCTGACTCTCTCGCCTCGTCAGCAGCAGCAGCAGGAGCAGGGGTGGAGGAAGGGTGGGGTGCGGTTCTGGCAGAAGCCACGGTCACAGCCATTGCTGCAGCCCGCATTGGCTCCTGTGCTGACCCCAGTGAGCTTCCCACCTTGTGCCTGCCCGCCCTTGTGCCTTTCTTTTGCCTGCTCGTGTGCCTTCCATGCTTCCTTGTACTCATGTTGTTGACAGCTCTCTCTCTCTCAAACTCTCTTACTGGCTGTGTATCTTTAGCTCGTCCATCCGAACCATCCCTGTTGCCAACTCAGCACTGTTCAGAATCCTCTGTAAGTACCCCTTCATAGATGGATGATTCATAAGAGCAACTCGTTGCACCAACTCGTTGCACCAACTCAGCACTGTTCAGATTCCTCTGTAAGTACCCCTTCATAGATGATTCATAAGAGCAACTCGTTGCACCAACTTGCCTCGCTCCCTTTCATCCAATCGTCGTACCCCCTGATTTTCCTCGTCTTTTCTCCACTTCCCCTCATTCCCTCCTCCCACCCTGCTATTTCCCTTTCATGATCTCACCCACGACTCCCCCCTCCCCCCCCCACCCCCCCCCCCCTCTCGCTGTTTCTCGCCATGCCCCCTTCTCCTGCTCTTCCTTTCCCACGGCTTCCCCCCCTGTGGCATCTCTGGGGGAGGTGACTTTGGGCGGGGCAGCGGGCTACAGTGATGGCTGCCCCTCTGAAATCTATCTAAGCTTTAGTAATTTACTTCGCTCTTGCTTCCTCCTTTCCCCTTCCAGCGGCATCCCTGGGAGAGGTGACTCTGTGGTCGGGGCAGCGGGCCACAGCCGTGGCAGCACTCCTGGAATCTATTTCCAGGGAGCCTAATTTGATATTCTCTCGCTCTTTTTTCCTCTTTCCCTCCCAGCGGCATCCCTGGGAGAGGTGACTCTGTGGTCGGGGCAGCGGGCCACAGTGGTGGCAGCACTGCTGGAGGGAGCTGCGCAGATCGTGGACCGCCACCTGTCCACCCAGGATTGGTCAGGAGCCGATGCAGCGGGTGAAGCAAGCAGTGGTGACATGGAGGCGACTGGGAATGATGGTACTGCTGGAGACAGCAAGGATGTGGAAGGCAGAGGTGGTGATGGTGATGGGATTAAGGGCCTGGTAGGAGGAGAAGGAGAAGGAGGAGAAGTACAAAAGGGGCTGGTGGAGGGAGAGGAGAAGTTGAGGAACGAGGAGGGTGAGGAGGTGAATGAAGGAAAAGGGGATGGCGAGAACGTCGAGGAAGGGGGTGAGGGTATGGTGACTGCAGCAGCTGGTGGTGGCGACAATGGTGGAAAAGAAGCAGCAGCAGCGCCATCAGCAGCAGAAGAAAAAGCAGATCAGTCCAACAGCTTTCTCGACATGTCTTCCTCTCCCCTCGACACCATCCCCAATGCTGATGTGGCCTTCTCAACCATGTCGCCGCCATCGTCCCCGTCAGCGCCACGTGGCGGCTTCTCAGAGCCGGAAGGCGCTCCAAGCGCCACGCGTGCGCTGCACGCGCTGTCGCTTCTGGCAGCGCTGCCGCCGCTGGTGTCGGGCGCGGGAGGGGATTACTTTGCGATCCAGCTGGAAGAGAGCGGCATGGCTCGATGCATGCACGCGTTCGAAACAGCATTTGCGTCCAAGTCACGACAGGTGAGGTAGAGTGGTGGGATGGGGCAGAGATAAGGATGAGGCTTGGGTGTTGGGGAGAGGAGAGATGGGAGAGGGGACAGGGGACAGGGGAGAGGTGAGAGGGGGGAGTGATTAGCTAGTGGGTATGCTTGTCTGGACATGTTGCTATCTTTTTCTGCTGTGTATCTCATCCGCCTCTCGAGCTTGTCTCTATTGATGCATAGAGAGATGACAAACATGCCCTTCTGCTCATCTCATCATCCTACTCATTCCCCCCTCGTATTTGCCCTAAGATTCTCCCATTCAATGCCCCGTCCCCTCCCCACCACTCTAACCCCCTCTCCCATTCTCCTTCCCCTTCCCCTCCCTCTTCCTCTCCCCTTCCCCTTTCCCTTCCCCTTTCTCTCCCCTTCCCCATCCCTTCCCGCTTCCGTTTCCCTTCCCCTCCCCGTTCCCCTCCCCTTCCCCTCCTATCCAGGTGCGCATGGCAGTGATAGGAGCCCTCAAGGTGCTGCTCCAGTCATCTAATACCCCTCCCCCTCCTCCCTCCCTCCCACCCGCACCTCGCCCCCCCTGATTTCTCTGCATCGTTCTCCTATCCAGGTGCGCATGGCAGTGATAGGAGCCCTCAAGGTGCTGCTCCAGGCGGGATTGCCCAAGGCCCTGGCAACAGCAGGCGCAGCAGGGGAGGGAGGAGCAGAGGGAGAGAGCGGTGCTGCCGACAGCAGCAGCAGCACCAGCAGCATGAGGAGGCAGGCGACTGTGGTGTGGTGGCCCATGCAGCTCATGCTCGCACTCACTCCTGCTGTGCTCTCAGTCATTCAGACCTCTTCCAAGGTGGGTCTCTCTGTTTCAAAATTGTCCAGACTAGGTGTTACTGACGCTTTGTCCCTTCCTGTGCTCCTGTGGTTGTTGGCCCACGCAATTCATCTTCCTTTTTTTCCACTTGACTGATTCGTTTCCGTCTCCCGCTCTCCTCTGCTTGCTCCGCCCTCTTCTCCTGCTCCTCACTCTCCAAAGCCTCCGTCTCTCACTCCCCTCCACGCCCCATTCTCCCACCCGAGCATCCCCTCGCTGCATCACCTATCTGTTCTTGGGTCTTTCCGCCTCTAAGCCTTTGTCTGCGCTACTTCTACACCTCTCCTATCCCGTTCCTCCCAGTCCTTCCCAGTTCATCCCAGTCCCTCTATGTCCCTCCTTATCCCTCCCAATCCCTCCCTATCCCTTCCAATTTTCCCTCTCTGTCCCCCCCCCCCGTCCGCCCACCAGGACCTGCAAACACCCCAGGCAGCCAACGAGGTGATGGAGGCGCTCAAGCTCTTCCTGCTTTGAGTCATCCCAATGCTCGTTCCTCCCTATCCTCCCCCAATCCCGCCCTCCCTCCCTCCCTCGCTCCCCCCGTCCGCCCACCAGGATCTGCAAACCCCCCAGGCAGCCAACGAGGTGATGGAGGCGCTCAAGCTCTTCCTGCTGCTGCTCTCCACCATCCCGCCTCCTGACGCCAAGGAGAAACTGCCAGGGGCAGCGGGTGCAGCAGCGGCGGCAGCGGGTGGGGAGAGGCAGCAGGCGGTGCTGGAGCTGCTGCTGGTGACGGCGATCATGGCAGGGTCTATGGCACAGCCGGCAGGAGGGGTAATACCGTCTGGTGTCTGGGGTGTTGTGTGTGGGCTTTGGGGTGTGTGGGGGGTGAGAGAAGGGGTGGAAGGATTTATTTAGGGGCCTCAAAGAGACCAACAGTCGGTGCTGGAGCTGCTGCTGGTGACGGCGATCATGGCAGGGTCTATGGCGCAGCCTGCAGGAGGGGTGGGTGTTTGCTTGTGTTTGCTGGCGTGAGTCTCTCCTTGTGTGTGTTGTCTGTCATTCCATGTTATCTGGGGCCTCTGAGGCAGTGGCAGCGGCAGCGGCTGGTGGGGAGAGGCAGCAGGCGGTGCTGGTGGAGCTGCTGCTGGTGACGGCGATTATGGCAGGATCTCTTGCGCAGCCGGTGGGAGGGGTAATACCATGTGGGGGCGCATGTGAGTTGCGGCGAGACGTGTGTGGGTGGGTGGGTGGGTGGGTGCGTTGTGGGCATGTGGATGCGTGCATGTGTGGTGCGGGCGGGCATGTGTTTCTGTGTAACGAAGGCTCGAGTCTCAAGGAGAGCGCACAGAGAGTTCACAGTGAGGGTGTCCAGTTTCCATGTGGGAAGGTCATGGAAAAGGGCAAGTCAATTGCCAGGTGCGTGTGCCACATGTGTTCAGTTTCCTCCTGCCTCTTTCCCTCCCTCCCAAAATCCCTCCCTTCCCAACTCCCATCCCCCCATGCTCGTATCGACCAGGAGGGGCAGCAGCAGAGTCCAACACAGGCAGCAGTGATCGGCATGGCAGTGAAGCTCATCACCCACCTCGCCACCGCCTTCCCCGCCAATCTGCAAGCTGCCACCACCGCCCTCCCCCTGGCCACCAAGCTACAGCTCCAGGTACGTTGCTTCGGCTGCAGCTGCTTCATCGCTCTCCCACCCTCCCCTGCCCACCTCCTCGTCCTAGTCCTTCCTTTCTCTCCCACATAGTCCGCACCCACCATCCCCTCCTCCCCTCCCCGCCCCGCCCGTCCTGCCCAGCCCAACCCGTCTCACTGTCTTTGTGTGTGGATCCACATGGACTATTGGCTGTTCCCTTCCCTTCCCCTCCCCTGCCCACCTCCTCGTCCTAGTCCTTCCTTTCTCTCCCACATAGTCCACACCCACCATCCCCTCCTTCCCACCCTGCCCCGCCCGTCCTTGCCATTCCCAATCCTTGCCGTCCACATAATCCACTATTTTCTGTCTTCTATCTGTTGCCTTCCGCGTGTAGTGAGGTGTGTATTTTGAGGCGCCTCAAAATACACCCCATTCCCAATCCTCCTTGCCGTCCACATGATCCGCTATTTTCTGTCTTCTATCTGTTGCCTTCCTCCCCTGCCTTCCTCTCTGGCCCCTCCTCTGCAGACCGTGATCAAGTCCTCCGTCCAGCAATCACAGCCACGCCGTGTCTCCTCCTCCTCCCCTGCTGCTCCTCTCGCCCCTCCACCTCTCCCCTCAGTCTCTTCCCCCGCTCTTCCTCCCCCCTCCACCACCACCACCAGCACCGCCATCCCTCCTCCCATCCCTCTCCCCTCAAGCGCCCCATCTAAAGGTTTCCTCGCACCTCCCCCTCCCTCCTCCTCCTCTTCTCCCTCCACCTCGCCTTTCCAGCCCCCTCCTCTCACCCAGCTCTCTGCCTCCCGCCTCTCTGCCTCATCTGCAAGCTCAGACACTGCTGCAGCCACCACCACCACCACCGCCACCTCTTCTGTTGCTGCTACTGCCGCTGCTGCTGCGGAGGCCACTGCTGGGAACATGGGAGGGTTTAGTGATGACGATGATGATGATGATGAGTGGGCTGAGTTTCAGTCTATTCGTTCCTCTACCACTTCCACCTCCACCAGTACAGCCCCCCCCAGTGCACGCCCCTCCGCCACTGACGATACCGCTGCTGCTGCTGAAGCTGTTGCAACAGACACTGCTGTTGATGGCGATTCGGCTGTGTCAGAAGCTAGCCGTTTGGCACAGGAGAATGGCTTGTCTGAAGCGGACAAAGCAGGGGCGGGAGGGGGAGAGGATGGGGTGGGTGTGGCACGGGAGAGTGGTGTGAGCAGTGCTGATGCAGACTCACTAGATGAGGTAGAATTTCTGCTTGCTGCAGCATGCTTTGGTTGCCAGTTTTCGGCTCCTCTTGCACCAGTGCCCCGTTTCTTCTTTTTAGTCACTCAAATGCAGCATGGATTTCTTGCCATTTTTCGGCTCCCCTTAAGTACCTTAAGTCCTTGTTTCTCGTGCCATCTCGTGTCATGCCATGCCATTTCCTGGTCATTTGAGTACCATTAGTCCTTGTTTCTCGTGCCATCTCGTGTCATGCCATGCCATTTCATGCTGTCCCTATTGTCGTGTTGTTGCCCTTGTCACGCCAAGTCATGTTGTCTATCACGTCTTGTGCTTGAAGTGACACCACTCCCTCCTATCGTTAACTTTTCTCATCCCTCCATTTGCTCTCCCAACAGGACGATGATGATTTTGGAGACTTTACTGATTTCTCCTCCGCACCACCTTCAACCACTATCCAGCCAGAAGTAACAGCAGCCGCAGCTGCTGCTACTGCTGCTGATGCTGCTGCTGCTGCTGCTGCTGCTGCTGCTGTTCCCGCTGCAACAGAGGCAGCTGAAGCACCAGCAGGTGCGGTGGAGAGTGCACCAGCAGAGGCAGGAGTCGCTGGTGGTAGTGCTGAAGCAGCAGCTGCAGATGACAGTGACTGGGGTGATTTCGAAGACTCCTTTGCTTCTGCTCCTGCTGCTCCTGCTCCTGCCATGCCTGCTACCCAGTCAGCAGCACTTTCTCAGGAGGAGAGCTCTAGACCGGCAGCAGAAGCACAGGAACCAGCAGAGGCGGCGGGAGCAGCAGCAGCTGATGTTGGGGGATTGTCAGAGGAAGATTTTGTGCAAGTTAGCCTTGAGACGAGTGGAGGTCGTGAGGCGGTGGCATTGGAAGAGAGCAGGGCAGATAGCACAGGCGGAGATGCATTAGCCGCAGGAGGAGGAGCAGGAGCAGCAGGAGGAGGAGTAACAGCAGCAGCTGACGTTGCGGATGTGGTGGGTGCAGTGGAAGTGGTTTCGAACGGTGTTGTGGCGGAAGCTTTTACTCAGGAAGCATCTGAAGCTGCTGCAGTTGCAGCAGGAGGGGGGCTCGCAGACGCATCAGCAGCAGCGGCACCAGCTGCAGCGGTTGCAGACGCATCAACTGCTGTGGATGATGGAGACGACTGGGATGATTTCCAGGCCGTTGATCTGTCCTCCCAGGCAGCACCAGCGATCCCAGCAGCAGCAGCAGCACCAGAAGCAGTGGATGCTGATCCCTTTGACGATTTCCTGGCCTCTGCTCCTGCTCCTGCTGCTGCTGTTGCTCCCGCACTTGCTGAGTCAGCACCATCACTTGCTGAGTCAACACCACCTTCTGCTCAGTCAGCAGGTCCCATTGGCAGCAAATCTGCTGTTCCTGATTCTGGCCTTCTGGTCTTCGAGACGCTGACAGGAGCAGCAGGCTCGGATGCAGCTAAGAAGGGCGAGGACAACGATCCGTTTGCAGACTTTGCTGTGGCATCGCTTGTGCCTTCTGCTGCACCTGCTGCACCTGCTGCACCTGCGGCAGCTGCTGCAACAATTCCTGTTGCTTCTGAGGCCGCAGGTGATGGGAATGCTGTCTCAGATGGAGCTGCTGTAACGGCTGGTTCTGCAGCGGAGGCAATCGTATCAGCTGCGAATGGCACACCTGCTGCTACTCTTGCCGCTGCTGGTTCTGACGCCGGTGCCACTGCTGGTCAGGTAGAGACTGCAGCTGATGCTGCTGGCACTATTCGACCAAATGAGAGTGTCGATAGCTTCTATGACTGTGATCGTCTCGATGTGGAGGATGTGGAGGATGATGAGGACGAAGGGCCGAAGAAAGGTGGCTTTGTAGATGATGACGATGACTGGTATTAAACTTCCATTGTTTCGTAGCTCTGCTGTAGAAGAGACATTGCAAATGTTGATATTATTATGTGACAAAAAACTAGATTGCGTTCTTGGAATTCTAGAAGCCATATTGGCAAGCTGGTTTCAGTACCAGTACACCTGCGAATCCAAAACTGATTGGTTGCAAAAACCTACCGCAAATGCAATTATCCAGCATACGGGGGACCATCGAGCGCGCCACATGCCAAGTGGCGCCGCTGCGAGCGCCCCTTCCCCCGCCCTCTCTTCGTTCCTTACGGCGCTCCGCCAATTACATTCTCCGCCTCCTTTCCTCGGCCGAACCCTCCGTCCCGTCCCCCCGCTTCGTGTTCCCCTTGCCCCCATTCCCCCTTCCCCCCTTCTCTCCTCATCACGTTTCCCACCCCGAGTCTCTCACATCCCCCACTGCTCGCTCACTCCCTTCACCCCAGCTGCAGTCCGGGGTTGCTCTTACTCCGTCTCTTCCGCCGCAATCCACGCCTGGGAGTCCACTCCCTCCCATCATCACCCCGCCGCTTCCATTTTCATCGGGGAAGGTTTGCCACGCGCGTCACCCCATCTCGCCCCTCCGCTCTCCTGATCCTCGCTGTTGGCAGATCGCGCGTCGCATTCTAGACCCGTCGTTAAACTCCGAACTCTAGCCACCATGGCGCGTTGGTCTCACATCCTCGCGCCCGCGTCCCGCCGCCGCGCGTCGCATCTCCTCGATCTTGCCGCGGCGCGCAGCCCCGCGCTGGCCACCCTCCTCGACACCTCCTGCGCCGCCTCGATCGCCCCGTTCCGCGTCGCGTTGCAACGCCAATCCACGTCCGCTCCCACCAACGCCGCTCCTGCGGCTCCTGCTGCTTCTGCCACTCCTGCTGCTGCTGCTGCGACCTCCGCGCCTGCCGCGAACTACCTCTACCGTGAGATCTACAACCGGCAGCGGCAGCTCGTGCCGATCAACCACATGGTGCCTGACGTGGCAGTCGACGCGTGGGTCGCGCCGAACGCGATCCTCGCGGGCGGCGTCACGATCGACGACCGCGCGTCCGTCTGGTACGGCAGCGTGCTGCGCGCCGATCTGAACTACATCCGCATCGGCGCGTACAGCAACATTCAGGACCGCGTCGTCGTGCACGCCGCGTCGGCATCCCCCACGGGCCTCTCCGCGGAGACTACAGTCGGGAGGTATGTGACCGTTGGGCAAAACTCCGTGCTGCGATCGTGCGAGATCGAAGACGAGGTAGTTATCGGGCAACGGTGCCTTGTCCTCGAAGGAGCTATCGTGGAAAAGAACGCCGTTCTCGCGGATTGCACGGTGGTGGGTCCCGGGCAGCTGATCCCCGGCGGGCAGCTTTGGGCGGGCAGCCCGGCGAAATTTGTGCGCGAGCTGACGGCGGACGAGGTGGCGGAGATTCCGAAGCTGGCGGAGTCGGCGCACTGGCTCGCGGAGCAGCATAAGTCGGAGTTCCTGCCGTATTCCACGGCGTATATCCAGGCTGAGAAGCTCAAGGCCGCGCTTAAAGCCTCTTCCGCTTAAAGCCCCGTCTGCTTGAGTTTCTCGACCGTTGGATATCGTCCGCTTGAGTTCTGCTGGTTTCTCGTCCGCCGTTGTGTCTGGAGGGAAAGGGGGGGTCAGCGAGGGGGAGGGCAGTGGAGGAGGGGGGTAGAGGGGGAGTGGAAGGGCTGTTTGTTAGTGGGAGCTGGATCCCCGTTGTCACTATGGAGCTGTTGACTTGAACTATGGAGTTAGGAGGGAGGAGGGAACAGGAAGGAGGAGGAAGGGAGTTGGGAGGAGGGAGGAGGGACCAGGGAGTGAGGAGGGAGGAGGATACAGGCAGAAGAAAAGGGGAAACGCGCAGGAAGCAGGTAGGATGGGCAGGCTAATTGTGTAGGTAGGGCGACCATTGCACCATGTCTGTTTCATGGAGGCAAAGGGGGGAAGGACAGGGGAAGTGAGGTGGAGGAAAGGAGGAGGAGGACGGGGGGAGAGGGGGGGGTTGAAGCTGTTGTGGTAGTTCAAGCAGGAGAGCAGCCAAGGGGGTGTTTAGGTGACGGGTCGTGGAGAGTGGCAAGGGCAAGATGGAGGTGGGATGAGCTGACGAGAGCTGGGAAGAGTTTGGAAGAGGTGGGATGTGGTGAGCAATTTTAGTCAGGCAAGAAGGTCTAGTCAGTGGGATGGAAAGATTGAAGTTCGGGCTTGGACTCATGGGATGGAATCATGGGACTCATGGAATCAGGTTACAAGAATGTCAATCTGTCAGGTTCTTTGTTTTTTGGGTTGTTTTTTGCCAGAGTCGACAGGCTGTGCCGAAGTGGGGAGGAACACTACTGTCCTTTTTCAAACCATTTTCTGAAAGCGAAATTACCTAGCAGAGATGGGGGGAGACATGTTGTGTCTATCTCTTCTGTTTCAGTGCAGGACTATCTTCTTTTGTCTGTCTGCCTATAGATTCCACTGTCTTTTATGGTTCTGTTACTGAAAGTCTTACGGTATGGTTATCTTATCTGCTACTGAAAGTCAAAATGATATTCACTGAATGGCTACACAGTTTTTTTATCCCAGACCAGACTATACTGGTAGTCTTGAACCAATGGTATGTACAGTAGACACTTCTTCGCTCTTTATCACATTTCTTAGTGGTACATACAGCAGTTGATACAGGAAGTTTGAACACAGCTAAGTTGTTAATCACTATGCACGTTGCACAGCATACCGGTAGCACCGCACCGCTCCTCTCCAATCCTTGCCTCCAGGAGGCATCCACAGCCATGAGAGACCGCAACAAAATGCAATTATTTACCAGTTGTCCAATATGTGTGCCTCTCATCTCAACACAAGGGAATGCAGGCCGCATTTGTTTTCAAGCCATGCGGGCGGGCGGGTATTATCAAGTCACAGTTTCACCGGAGAGGCTTCAAGCCCTGTGGGTGGGTGGGTATTAACAGCAGCAAGCAGCATGCAGCAGTGAATGGCACACAGCAGCAAGTGGCACCAACAGCATGCAGAGGAGAGAGGCGAGGGTGGGGTGGGGTGGGGTGGGGTGGAGTGGAGTGGAGAGGGGGGTGAAGCAATATTGAGAGAAATTTTCGAAGGAAATGTACAGCATTGCGATGCGATGCAACGCATGCTTGATGCAATGCACCACACCGCACCGCACCTCACCGCACTGCGCTACCGCATATCCCATCACAAGATCCCCAGGATCACCTTGGCGGCTCTCAGCTCATTGGCGCGTTGCAAGAGGCCCCGTTCCGATAGCAGCAGCTTCGACAGGGCACCCGTGGAGATGCTGTGTGTGTTGACGGGAGGGGGGAGTGAGAAGGAAAGGGGGGAAGGGTCAACAGGGAGTTTGACTGTGATGTGAAGTGAGAAGTTTGGCTCTCAGCTCATTGGCGCGTTGCAAGAGGCCCCGTTCTGATAGCAGCAGCTTCGACAGGGCACCTGTGGAGATGCTGTGTGTGTTGACGGGGGGAAGAAGGGGAAGGGGGAGAAAGGGGCTGGAGAGCGTTTGACAATGTGAAGGGAGACGTTGGGCCTGGACAGTGGCAGAGAGTAGAGCATAGCTCTCTTCTCATAGAGAGACTTCAAGCGGCTGTGAAGGGAGACGTTTTATCATGGACAGTGGCAGAGAATAGACTAGAGCACAGCTCAAGAGAGGAAAGAAGCAGCTTGGGGACAGTGGCAGTGGAGATGCTGGTGCAGGATCGAGGGGTGGTTGTGGGTGAGAGAGAGAGAGATGCGAAGTGTGTCTAGCACGCATGTCGCAATGAAGTCAGAGGTGGGCGGCCAAGAGGATGTGCCGTACGCAAAGCAGATTGCCAATGGTGGTGCCTGTGAAGATGCTGTAGTAGTGATGGGATGCGTGTGGTAGATGGATGGAAGGATGGATACCCTTAGTGAATTCTGAGTCGACTCAAAAGTCACCTCGGTGGGGGTGTGTGGTGGATGGATGGATGGGTACGCTCACAATTGTGCTTCACAGAGCAATGACTTGAGAAAGACCGGACAGGCCGAGGCAGGAAAGCCACTGCAATGGCGAGACAGTAACGAACGAGCCAATGACGAGGCAGTATGGCAGGGGCATGGCAACAACATGGTGGAGATTGAGGCATGGAGAAAGCTCGGCAGTACAGACGGACCCGAGGGTGGCGGCTGTAGCAGAGACGTTCCCGGCATGAGCTGATAGCACATCCAGAAGCTCACTGGCGCCCTGTGTGCGGACAGGCAAGCAGACAGGCAGGCAGGCGGGAGGGAACGCAAGCGGATGGGCAGGCGAACAGTGTGGGGAGGCAGGCAGGCAGGCAGGCGGGCAGGCATGCATGGTGTGTGGTTGGGTGAGCACTTGCAGAGAGACAGAAATTTAGTGGCATTACAGGAGGAGGTTGCAGAGGGGACGGAAGTTGATGGAGGTGGGGGTTGCTGTGAGGGTTGCTGTGAGGGTTGCTGCGAGGGTTGCTGCGAGGGTTGCTGCGAGGGTTGCTGCGAGGGTTGCTGCGAGGGTTGCTGTGAGGGTTGCTGCGAGGGTTGCTGCGAGGGTTGCTGCGAGGGTTGCTGCGAGGGTTGCTGCGAGGGTTGCTGCGAGGGTTGCTGCGAGGGTTGCTGCGAGGGTTGCTGCGAGGGTTGCTGTGAGGGTTGCTGTGAGGGTTGCTGTGAGGGTTGCTGTGAGGGTTGCTGTGAGGGTTGCTGTGAGGGTTGCTGTGAGGGTTGCTGTGAGGGTTGCTGTGAGGGTTGCTGTGAGGGTTGCTGTGAGGGTTGCTGTGAGGGTTGCTGTGAGGGTTGCTGTGAGGGTTGCTGTGGGGGTTGCTGTGGGGGTTGCTGTGAGGGTTGCTGTGAGGGTTGCTGTGAGGGTTGCTGTGAGGGTTGCTGTGAGGGTTGGTGTGAGGGTTGCTGTGAGGGTTGCTGTGGGGGTTGCTGTGAGGGTTGCTGTGAGGGTTGCTGTGAGGGTTGCTGTGAGGGTTGCTGCGAGGGTTGCTGCGAGGGTTGCTGCGAGGGTTGCTGCGAGGGTTGCTGCGAGGGTTGCTGCGAGGGTTGCTGCGAGGGTTGCTGCGAGGGTTGCTGCGAGGGTTGCTGCGAGGGTTGCTGCGAGGGTTGCTGCGAGGGTTGCTGCGAGGGTTGCTGCGAGGGTTGCTGTGAGGGTTGCTGTGGGGGTTGCTGTGGGGGTTGCTGTGGGGGTTGCTGGGAGGGTTGCTGCGAGGGTTGCTGCGAGGGTTGCTGCGAGGGTTGCTGCGAGGGTTGCTGCGAGGGTTGCTGCGAGGGTTGCTGTGAGGGTTGCTGTGAGGGTTGCTGTGAGGGTTGCTGTGAGGGTTGCTGCGAGGGTTGCTGCGAGGGTTGCTGCCAGGGTTGCTGCCAGGGTTGCTGCGAGGGTTGCTGCGAGGGTTGCTGCGAGGGTTGCTGCGAGGGTTGCTGCGAGGGTTGCTGCGAGGGTTGCTGCGAGGGTTGCTGTGGGGGTTGCTGTGGGGGTTGCTGTGAGGGTTGCTGTGAGGGTTGCTGTGAGGGTTGCTGTGAGGGTTGCTGTGAGGGTTGCTGTGAGGGTTGCTGTGAGGGTTGCTGTGAGGGTTGCTGTGAGGGTTGCTGTGGGGGTTGCTGTGGGGGTTGCAGTGAGGGTTGCTGTGAGGGTTGCTGTGAGGGTTGCTGTGAGGGTTGCTGTGAGGGTTGCTGTGAGGGTTGCTGTGAGGGTTGCTGTGAGGGTTGCTGTGAGGGTTGCTGTGAGGGTTGCTGTGAGGGTTGCTGTGAGGGTTGCTGTGAGGGTTGCTGTGGGGGTTGCTGTGGGGGTTGCTGTGGGGGTTGCTGTGAGGGTTGCTGTGAGGGTTGCTGTGAGGGTTGCTGTGAGGGTTGCTGTGAGGGTTGGTGTGAGGGTTGCTGTGAGGGTTGCTGTGGGGGTTGCTGTGGGGGTTGCTGTGGGGATTGCTGTGAGGGTTGCTGTGAGGGTTGCTGTGAGGGTTGCTGTGAGGGTTGCTGTGAGGGTTGCTGTGAGGGTTGCTGTGAGGGTTGCTGTGAGGGTTGCTGTGAGGGTTGCTGTGAGGGTTGCTGTGAGGGTTGCTGTGGGGGTTGCTGTGGGGGTTGCTGTGGGGGTTGCTGTGAGGGTTGCTGTGAGGGTTGCTGTGAGGGTTGCTGTGAGGGTTGCTGTGAGGGTTGCTGTGAGGGTTGCTGTGAGGGTTGCTGTGGGGGTTGCTGCGAGGGTTGCTGTGAGGGTTGCTGTGAGGGTTGCTGTGAGGGTTGCTGTGAGGGTTGCTGTGAGGGTTGCTGTGAGGGTTGCTGTGAGGGTTGCTGTGAGGGTTGCTGTGAGGGTTGCTGTGAGGGTTGCTGTGAGGGTTGCTGTGGGGGTTGCTGTGGGGGTTGCTGTGGGGGTTGCTGTGGGGGTTGCTGTGAGGGTTGCTGTGAGGGTTGCTGTGAGGGTTGCTGTGGGGGTTGCTGTGGGGGTTGCTGTGAGGGTTGCTGTGAGGGTTGCTGTGAGGGTTGCTGTGAGGGTTGCTGTGAGGGTTGCTGTGAGGGTTGCTGTGAGGGTTGCTGTGAGGGTTGCTGTGAGGGTTGCTGTGAGGGTTGAGGAGTTTCACTCACCTTGTGGAAATCAGCATGGTTCGGCCCAATGCGATCCTTCACCTTCCTCACTGCTGCTGCCTTGCTCCCACTCCCACTCCCACTCCCACTCCCACTCCCACTACCACTCCCACTCCCACCACCACTCGCACCACCATCAGTGCCACCACCACCACTGCTACTGGCAGCAGTGTTATCCCCGCCAAAAGACCCTCCTTCTGCCAGGGTTGAGGTGCCTGCAGTGGCAGCGTCGGCCTCAGAGGGCTGTTGCTGCTGTTGCTGATGCTGCTGCTGCTGATGCTGCTGCTGCTGCTGCTGCTGCTGCTGCTGCTGCTGCTGCTGCTGCTGCTGCTGCTGCTGCTGCTGCTGCTGCTGCTGCTGCTGCTGCTGCTGCTGCTGCTGCTGCTGCTGCTGCTGCTGCTGCTGCTGCTGCTGCTGCTGCTGCTGCTGCTGCTGCTGCTGCTGCTGCTGTTGCTGCTGCTTTTGCTGCTGGGGCTTGGAAGGCTTGGAGGCAGAGCGAGGTAAGATACGGAGGAGGTCAAGTGATGGCTCGTAGGAGGGTAGATGGATGGGCGTGCGCACTGCATGTACGGACAGCAGGAGGCATGGAGGCATGACGGCCCGTGAGCAAGCAAGCAAGCAAGGAAGGAAGCAAGCAAGCAAGGAAGCAAGCAAGCAAGGAAGCAAGCAAGCAAGGAAGCAAGCAAGCAAGGAAGCAAGCAAGCAAGGAAGCAAGGAAGTCCGCCTGCAGGCTGGCAAGCCAAGCTGCCAAAAGTGCATGCGTGGGCGAGATTTGAGCGTTGGGATGCTACCCTTCGGGCAATAAACCCTAAACGGATCGGATTTTCAAATGCAAGAGAAAAACCAACAACATGGCCAGTGAGCAAGCAAGCAAGGCAGCGAGCAAGGCAGCGAGCGCGCGAGCACCTGTGAGGGCAATGGCCTGGCGAAGGCGAACCAGAGCCGTGGCCTTGTTCATGTGCTGTGAGCGCTGCTCACACGACTGGAGGAGGGGATGGAGGGAGAGAGATATGGGGAGAGAGAAAGGGGGGAGGGAGAGTGAGGGAGAGAGTAAGGGGAGGATGGGGAATGCAAGGGAGGGAGTGGGGAGGGGGGATGAGCAAAAGACACAGAACGGCTTTGAAAGGAGGAGTGGGGGGAGGTAGGGTGGGTATGGGGAGGAGCTAGCGGCAGTGGAACAAGGAGTGAATCAGAGAAATCTTCATGTTGACACCAGTCAGTCACGTGCTTGAATGCAAACTCGTCTGAGAGGCGAGGGGCAGTGAGGAGCGAGGAGAGAGGGGTGAGCGGTGAGCAGTGAGCAGTGAGCGCAGAGCACTCAGCCGTGAGCGGTGCGCAGTGAGGGGTGAGCAGTGAGCAGTGAGCAGTGAGCAGTGAGCAGTGAGCAGAGAGTAGAGCATATTACCTGAGCCACACAGCCTGTCGGCTTATGCCGGATGCGGACGGCAGACTCTGTCTTGTTGCGGTGCTGCCCCCCTGGGCCTGACGCCCTGTACGTGTCCACCTCACACTGCTGCAGCAGGTGCGAGTCAGAGAGAGCAAGGAGCTCTGCAGCAGACACGGAAGTCACTCCCTCACTCCCTCTCTCACTCCCTCTCTCACTCCCTCTCTCGTTTCCCCTCTCGTTCTCTCCCTCTTTTCCTCGCCCACCCCACCCTTCATTCCCACTCTCTCTCCAGTCCCCAGCTTCCACGCCCTCCCCTTGCACTTCCACACTGGCAGAGCCTCTCCTCTTCCCTTTCTTCCTCCTCCCTCCCCCTCGTCCTTCCTCCTTTTCTCCCCTCTCCTCCTCGAATCCTTCCTCTAGCCCACCCTCCCATGCATCCCCATTCTCCTCCTCACTCATCCTCGCGAGCTCCTCCTGTCCCTCGTTGTCCCACCACGCATCCGCTGTACCCGGTAAAGCTCGACCCGTTTCCTGCTCCTGATCCGCTGCTACAGCGCCAGAACTTCTACCTTCGCGCCGAGCGCACGCAGAAACCGGACGAGCAGAGGAGACGCCTCGAGTAAACCAGAGGAGGGTAGTGACTGACGACAGCAGGGGAGACAGCTGCAGGGGAGACGAGTTAAGAGGCATCGATTTCAGTGGGGACAACGCCAGGGGAGCCGATTGAAAAGGAGAGGATTCCGTGAGTAAGAGCCGTGCTCTTGTAAGTATTGGACGATCCCGATTCTGACTCCGACCTCGATCCCCAAATCGCGCACTGGCGAACACAGACCCGCCTCTGCTTACTATCCATCTGCTGCCGCTGCTAGGAGCTGGCGAGAAGGAAGCATGATGCGCCAATGGCAGAGAAACACGTGTTGCCAGTCGCACAGCGAGTCGCGAAAGGGGAACCTGCAGCAGCAGCTATAGAAGCCAATGGCTCTGACGACGACGCGCGGCGTGCAACTATCGGCGAGGCAAAGGCGGGGAGCGGCAGTGTTGAACGCGTTAGGAAGTTCTGCGATTGAGGCGTTCTGAAAGTCAACACAGCGCGCCGAGCCAAGCAACACATCGCCCCACTGCCTGTTTCAGCAACTCCGAAGACCAGCATTGTGCCAAAATTTGGTGAAATCGACGTAAGTGAAAAACAATACGCGGTACAATATGATCAAACCAAGTCCACCTAAAGGTTTAGTTGACAACTTGCTGTATAGTTATGATTACTATGCGCATCATACTTACAACTTCTATACGTCTAGCGGTTGAACAACTATTGGCGATCTTACACTATGCCCTTTATTGTCCCGCCATGTCAAACTCCCATACGAGAACCCACTTCTCCTTTGCAGAACCTGAATATACACCTCATAAGAAACCGTCTCCCCTGGTGCAATAGCGAAGCTTCCCGGGTCGACATTTATCGAAACACCCGCTGGCGTTTCCACACTGGCGGTGTAGACCGTCGTTTCGGAATATACACTTGTAACATACCGTGTAACAGTAACCGAACCTGACAACCGAGTCACGGAAATCGACGGCCTGTTGAGATTATAAGCTGGTGTCGCCGTGAGCGTATCGGACGGCCATTCCCGCTTCGCCGTTGTTTCATTCTGCCCGGCGAGAAAATCCTTGAAGTCTCCGAGCGAAATGTCGTACGTCAGGCCCGGATCCAGAAGCCTCGGCGGGTTCACCTGACCCGAGCCTATCTCCCACGGGGTCGCGTGTCCCCCCGTCGACCCCCTTATTTTCCCGCCTTTATTATTCCGCGTGCTCGCGGTCGTCATAACCGCGGACATGATCTGCGCGGGGGTCCACGCGGGACGCCGTTGGATCAACAGCGCGGCGATCCCCGCGATGTGCGGCGTCGCCATGGACGTCCCGGACATCTTCGCGAAGGCGGCGCGGCGGAAAATCAACCCTCTTTTTCCGGGAGCGGCAGACCAGAGGTTGACGCCGGGAGCGAGAATGTCGGGCTTTAAGATGTCGTTCGTGGGGTAGGGAGGCGAGGGTGCGTCATCAGCAGGAGCTAGAGGTCCTGTGGAGGAGAAGTAAGGCACAGTAGGAGCCATTTTGGTGATGGAGTGAATAGAAGCAATGACCGCGGCAGTAGCTCTGGCATTGGGGTGAGGATAGGGGGTACGGAAGGGTACAGAAGGGGTAAGGGGAGGGATGAAAGAGGAAGAAGGGACAAGAGGGAGGGTAGTGAGCAGGGTGAGGAGACAGAGGGTGGTGGTTATTGGAAAGGAAGGTGAGGGGATCAATGAGCTGATGGGTTGGGGCTTTAACAAAAACGAACAAGCATTGGGGCGAGAACAGGATAACAAAGGGCAAAGGGCATTGGCACAGCAAAGCGGGAAAAGGGAAGGTAAGGGAAGGAGGAAGAGTGAGCGACACATGTTAGGGAATTCCACATGCATCAGGCCTGTTCCTTACTGACCTGGTCCTGGTTCCACGTAGGAACGCATGGAGCAGCGCTGCAGAGCGGGTGTCCAGTCGCAGAAGCGGCAACGAGTAGGAGTCAACAAACACAGGTCTGCTTGGTCCGCTGAGATTGCTTGGACTGCTGGAATTGCTTCTGCCCTTGCCAGCTTCAGTCATAGCGACAACAGCAGTGGCACTATGGCCATCACCACCACCACCAATACCATCACCGCCAACAGCAGCAGCAGCAGCAGCAGCAGCGGTGGCATCCGAAGTAGCACCCTCATCAATCCGGTTGAGATTGCCAGCAGTAGTAGAAGAAGCAGCAGGTACGATGCTGCCAGGTAGCAGCACCACAGCCTTAGCCTGGCAGGCAGCCAGCGCCGCCACCTGTTGGGCCTCAGAAATGGTTCCGCTGCTGCTCCCGCTGGCGGTGCCGCTGCTTCTGCTGCTACCCCTGCTGCACACGACCACTTTGCCTTTCACGGCAGCACAATCCACCCACCCTGGGACACACTGTGCTGCTAGAGTCTTGGCTCTGTCAGGGTGAAACGCAGCAGCCCATGCGGCTGGCTGATTTGACCTTGGCTGTGCTTCCGGTATTCTTGCAATTGCTTCTAGACCCTCTGTGCTTGTGGTGCTGCTGTTAGCTGCAGGTACGTCTGAACCTGGAGCAGCATCAGAAGCAGCAGCAGCACCACCACCACCGACAACCGCAGGAGTTGTTGCAGCTGCTGCAATTGCAGAAGTGGAAATGATGGCAGCAGTGCGACTGAGAACGATATCAGCTGCTTGGTTGCCACTGCAGGCAACATCGTCACCATCATCATCAGAATCATCACAGGCACCGGGAAAGTGCAGCCTCGTCTGCTGTGATATGTCCTGGGACTCAAACTTGAACCCCGCGGATCGAAACCGGGCGATCTCTTTATTCTTTCTCCTTTTGATGGTGCTGGAAGAGTAAAACAGGGAGGAAACATGGGATTGGAGGAGTGGAAGTGCGATGTGGAACGCCAAACAAAAACGCACTAGAGATTGCAAGAAAGCAGTTTGAACGAAAGACTTGCTGCGAGAAAGTATGAAGGATAGAGAAGGCATTTGGAGCAGCAAGAGCAAAACAATTGAGAGGCATGAATTTACATCTGCCAGGCACAGATGTGAAATGAGCACTGAAGTGTGCGATAGTCAGGGAATGGCATTGCATACATGGCGAGTGCCTGGGTTGATAATGTGTGTGTGTGTGTGTGTGTGTGTGTGTGTGTGTGTGTGTGTGTGTGTGTGTGTGTGTGTGTGTGTGTGTGTGTGTGTGTGTGTGTGTGTGTGTGTGTGTGTGTGTGTGTGTGTGTGTGTGTGTGTGTGTGTGTGTGTGTGTGTGTGTGTGTGTGTGTGGGATGAAGAGTGTATGGGTTTAAGGGTGCGTGGTGTTAAGAGTGTGAGTAAGTGCAGGGCAGGGCAGGAAATCTCACCTGGCGCCAACGGTGATGTAGAAGGGTGAGAAGTTGTTGATTGTTCGATACACCTCATAGCTGCCGTCTTTTGAGACGTCTCACCAGCAAGGCGGAGAGAAAACGAGAGGATGGGAGTGAGGGAAGAAGGCAGCTCACCCGGCACCAACGGTGATGTAGAAGGGTGAGAAGTTGTTGATTGTTCGATACATCTCGTAGCCGCTTCCTGGGAAGCCCTCGTTGCCCGCTGCAAATGCCACCACCGTTCCTGCCTGCACGTGAACAGAAGGAGAGAGCGAGGCATGCAGGAAGGGAGAGAGGCACGTCACAGGGTGCAGAGGTGTGATGGAGGGGTCAAGTGCGGTGATAGAACGATAAGCCACGAGCATAAAAAAGAGTGGCAGAAACGGTAACTCATGAGCAGCAGAGCAGCCGAGATTCAGAGAGACTCACCGCGTGGGCATAGAGAAACGTGAGGTCAGTGAAATGGGTCGCACTGGCATCCAGAGATTCTTTTGGCACCTCCACTCCACTCCATAAAGAGTGGCACAAACGGAATCTCGTGAGCACCAGCCAGTCACGAGAGCAGCAGAGAGTGAGAGGGGCGGAGAAGCGGAGAGACTAACCGCGTGGGCGTAGAGAAACGTGAGGTCCGTAAAGTAGGTCGCACTGGCATCCAGAGCGCCCAGTGACAGGCTGAGCACATCCACACCGTCCGCCACGGCCGCATCAACGGCCGCCTCGACGTCGGCAGAGGTGGCAAAGAGGGCGCCTGACTGCGCCTCCTGCCAGAAGACCTTGTACACTGCGAGGTGCGCCCCGGGCGCCATGCCACTGGCTGCTCCTGGGGAGGTGCGGAGGGGTGGGCGGACTATCACCCCGTGCCTGCCTGCTGCTGTACTGTTGGGGCGGAGGGTGGGGGGAAGGAGGACGGGGGACAGGGAGCAGGGGAAGGGGCGGGCGGAAGGGGATGGGGGAGCAGGAGGGAAGGGGAAGGGAATGGATGGATGAGCGAAGTGCTGGTTGTGAAAGAGAGGAATGGCAGCAGAACCACATCAAGAGCCGCCTCCACATCAGCGGAGGTGGCAAGGAGGGCGCCTGACTGCGCCTCCTGCCACTCACCCGCCCACACACCCCGCCCACGCGCCCATCACTCACCCGGCACACCAGGTGCCGTGGCCGTTGGTGTCGCGGGGGGAGAGGTAGTCCCCCGAGGGGCTGATGGAGAACCCCGAGGCCGCAAATCCCGCCATGAAGAAGCGCGCGCCGATGAGCTTCGAGGAGCACCCCTTGAAGTCGGATGTGCGCGCACACGTGCCCGACCAGTGGGGGGGGCGGTCTGCGGGCGAGGAGGAACGCTGTGGGGGAAAGAGGGAGAGAGATGGGAGGGGGAGAGGGTCCAAGTGGGTTATGAGGTTGGAGGAGCACCCGTTGAAGCTTGATGTGCGTGCACACGTGCTGGAATGGTGCGGGGGAGCTGCTGGGGACGATGTGGCGCGCTGCCCGGGTGGGAGAGTGGGGAGGGAGGGAGGGAGGGAGGGAGGGAGGGAGGGAGGGAGGGAGGGAGGGAGGGGAGAGAGGGCACGAGGGCACGAGACAGGAAGAGTAAAGTGGGAGAAATAGAGTGAACAACAGAGAACGTGAGAAAGACACAGATGGAGGCAGGGAGAGCAAGAGTCACGAACATAGAAGCAAGCACCAAACACAGGCACCAACTCAAGAGCAAGGCAACCCACCCGCCGGCAACAACAACTCACATTCTTCCGGAAAGAAGGGTGCTCGGGCCAAATCCCAGTATCCACCACCCCAATCACCACGCCCGCGCCAGCCCGCTTCCGTCCCCCGCCAGCCTTCCACAGGGACCCAGGCAGCTTCAGAAACCGCGGCGAGTCTGTCGTCAGCTGCTTGATCACCACACTGGGTCGTATATCCGCTACCATGGGGTGCCGCCTCAGCTTTTGGAGCTGTTCAGGGGAGAGGAGGGCGGAGAAGGCGTTACTGGTGTAGGTGTAGCTGTGGAGGAAGCTGGGAGCGGGGAGGCGGATGTCCTGGGCTACTTGGCTCTGCTGCCGCGAGAGCATGGCGGCGAATGCGCGCACGTGGGATGCGCGCGTGTTGAGACGCGCGCGCGGAAGAGGAGGGGAACGAGGGGGATGGGGACCGGGACGCTGCTTCCAACGTGGCCAACCCATCCCCTTTAAATCCGTGGAGGTTAACGGCTTGTTTCCTGCTGCTGCTGGTGCTCGTCCCGCCCCTCCCTCAACTGAACTTGCTACAGCACCACCAGCAGCAGCATCCGAATCAGCAGCAGCAGCAGCAGCAGCAGCAGCAGAAACGGTAGGGGAAGTGGCAGGGTAGCCGGGGATACCGCCCTCGTAGGCGACAGTGGCAGGCGCGGAGCGCAGACGGATTATGTACACCCGGGGTGGGACGGCCGCGGCTGGTAGCAGGGGTTGGGAGAGGCAGGTGACGGAGGGGAGGGGAGGGGAGGGGAGGGGAGGGGAAGGGAAAAACGTTGTGGGGACGGCGACGGCGACAGGCGCGGAGCGAAGGCGAACGATTCACACCCGTGGGGGATGACATGACCGCGGCTGGTTGGGGTGAGCAGGTTACGGAGTGGGGGGTGGGGGAGAGTGAAGGGCGGATGTAGGGAGGGCGGGCACTGGAGTGGGAGGGAGTTGGCCGTGAGGGGATTTCAAGAGGGGAGGAGAACAGGGGGAGGGGTGGGAGGGGAAGGGGTTGGGGAGAGGGGGGGAGGGAGAGGGTGGGGAGGGGGTTGGAGAGGGGGTTGGATGGCTGAACGGTGAATGCGGAGAGACTGTCTATGCGTGCATTGGAGAAGCCGCTATGGAAGTTGTGAGACTCTGTTTTTGCGCTCGGAATAAAGCGATACGAAGTTCTCGGTGAGCCAAATTGAACTGGTACGTGCTGTCGAAGGAGGGAATTAAGAAGGTATTGACGGAGGATGGAAAAGAGGGGAGGAGAGAGAGCGATGCCGTGGAAAGGGGAAGACAACCGAAGAGGGGGAGAAAAAAGTGGGAAAGGAAAGGGTGAGGGGAGGGGGTGGGAGATGTTAAGTGTGAGAATCAGAATACCTCGTTTTATAAAGTCCAAGCTCGGGATTAAGGCGTGGTATCGGATTCGTCCGTACCTTCCGTCAACTGATCTCGCAGCGCAAATTGAATGGAAGACAACAGTATTAGCAGCATTGTCGCTCTGACATCATGCAGGCTGAACCGCGTCGCAGTAATCGATTTCATAGTACCGAGAATAGCCGCGGCGGCAACGAATCGTAACGAGGATAGACGTCTGCAATGCGGGCTGTAGAACAGTCGCTCCTGTAACGAGTATAAACGCCTCTAAGAGTTATGGATCCCTCATGGCAAGAATCGGTGCGATCCGGTTCTGCGTGTGTCAGCCAAATAGATGCAACTCCGCATTCTTGCCCTGAAAGACAAAACCCAACCTACCCGAGACCTTCTCCATTTGCACAACAGCAGCCACCCTATGGCTATGGACATGCCATCGCCGGCTGGTGGCGTTTGTGGAGTGTGCAGATGCTGTCTTTGGTGCGGAGTGGACTCGCTGAGGTGGGATGAGGAGGATTGAGGGAGGAGTCAAGGAGACCTATCTGTCTGCTATTCTGGATGGGATGGGGTGGGGTGTAGTGGGTTAAGGTGAGATGGAGCGGGGTAAGAGAGGGTTGGCGAGATAAACACACCCATACGCCCACACCCAGCCTTTTCTTCAACCTAAAGATTCTGTTCACTGGAAAGGTCAGTTCAATTTGTTCAGATGACTTCCCCTTTCCGCTCCTCTCCCGCAGCCTCTCCCTCCCTCAACCAATTCCAAGAATCCTTCTCAAAAGTGAAATCAGGTTCACGGTGGAACCAGCTGCCAAGCTCCACGTTTCCGACTCCGACGAGTTCCAGTTCAGGAAGTCAAGGACTGCAACAGACGTATATCACAAAACTACAGTACAGTAGGAAGAAAAGTTTACAGTGTACTGTACTGTATGCTGAAGTGATCGCTCTGGCGACTCGGGGGCACTAAGAATTGCGTGGTTCTTGGGTCTACAGAAAACGAGAAAATGCAACCCTGAAGATGTTCGTGGCTTGTACTGTACTGAATCAACTCGGGCGGTTGATAGGCATTTTGAAACGATGCCCAATCGTGTTTTGATCTCAAACCGAGTCACCAAGCTATCAGCTTATCTCTTTGACATGCTCTGTCTGAGGGAGAAATGGTACCTTGAGGATTCCACTGGAAGAACGGCGCCCCCAGTACTTCTGGGCGTACCGCTGTTATGAACTAAAGAATGGATCAGGTTTCGTTTTACATAAACTTGACAAACTTTCATAAAACTACCATGCTTAATCTTCGAAACAGGTGGGGCATGCCTCAACTGGAATCTGGCAGGGACTTCACCGAAAAGGGTACAGCCGCCACCGACAACGAGCTTCATCTGAGGTTTCATCCAGCCCACCCCAGCCGTTCTACAGTACGACATGACCACATGGAGCTCCTCCAGTGGACCACAAGTTCTGTTTCTTGTACAGCGCAGAGGTTCAAGTTCGTAGTGAGACTTTACTGTACCCAGCCTAGGGTCCTTTCTGAACTAGTCATTTGTGCTACTTATGTTCTTGGTTTGGTCAAAATTGTGATTATTCTGACAGCTTACTTGTTCTTATCTGTGAGGTCACGCGTGATGTCCTCAGAACTTCATATATTATATAATATTGATTATATTCAATATTTACGTACAGCTGGTTCGTAGCTGGTTTAATTCACTTGTATTTGCTGTTTTCCTGGTCGGCATCCGCTGCTCACATATTTGTATATCCTATCCTGTTTCAAATATTTGAAACAAATTCGGTGCAAGCAGGCCAACGTGGAATGGTATGAATATAGCATCTGGCTAAAATATAAATGCATTCCATGCGAGTAAAACTTAGTGCTGTACTCTCTTGGGATCTCGACCCCTAGATGTCGAAATGCTTTAGTAGTGAACCTTGGATTATGGAGCAGTGCTCACAAATAGCACTCAACTTTGTTGGGGTGGTGTGGTACCTTCGCTGGGGTTAGGGCATTAGTTAGTAGCCAAACCCCGTACCTGTGGATGCAGGCACAGAACCTTTTTAGGCCGCGCCTACGCGGCAAGCATCCCGTCGGCAACCTAGTCTGACGTCTAAGGACCGTTGTCGCGAATGGGTGGCTCACGGACATTCCAGGCCGTTCTCCTTATCCCAACTGACGACAATCAGCTCTATCCGCTCACGTCGGATGAGCTGCCACGTGTCCTCCTCCCAGTGGGAGGCCGCCCTCTTCTCTCCTACAACCTCGAGCTCCTCGAATCGTGCAACGTTCAATCCGTTTTACTCGTCATCGTCGGTGCTGACTCAGCAGCCGCGTCCCGAATCTCGGGCTGGGTAGCTCAAAATTTCCACGAACGGCTGCCCGGCCTCGAGATCGCCGTCGTCTCCGAAGCCGTCGGATCTGCCGATGCGCTTCGGAGCATCTTCCACCGCATCGCTGACGTCCACGATCTCCTCGTTCTCTTCGCCGACGTCCTGACAGACGTCCCGTTAGGCTCCGTCGCCGCCGCTCATCGGCGGGAAGACGCCGCACTGACGATCGTCTTTAACGACCGAGATGGTTTAGCCGGCGGATCAGACGGCGCCGCCGGCGGTACGGGGAGCGGAGGGGACGCCCGGTCGGGGGACAAGGGGAAGAAGGGAGGAGCCAGCGGCGGCGGAAGCGGCGGGAAAAGCGGCGGGGGCGGTAAAGCCGGCGGGAAGAGCAGCGCTGTCAGTCCGGATTTAGTCGGATTGGACGCGTCAGGGAAGCGTCTCTTAATTTTCCAACCAGGCTCTAACTCCGCTGGCAGCGCGCCACGTCAGACTGCGCTTCGCCGAGCCCTCCTAGAGACGGAGGGGCGCGTGGACTTGTGCACGGATTTAATCGACTCTCGAGTTTACGCGTTTCGCCGAACCGCTCTCCAGAATTTCCTCGCGTCGCAGTCTGGCTTGTCCTGCCTGCGACGCGACGTCCTGCCGGCCTTCGTGCGCGATCTGCAGCCGCGCCGGCAGCTGCTCCTCGCGTCACTCCTCCCGCCGTCTGCCGGTCTGCCGTTCGCCGCGTCAGCCGGCACCGTCGCAGGGCTCGTGTCGCCTGCAGCCTCCGCCGCGGCCGCATCTGGCGGCGGGGTTAGCGGATCCAGGGACGTGCTAGGATCAGGCAGAGGGGGAAACGTCGGAGGAGACGCTGAGGGAAGCGGCGGTGGCGGCGGCGGCGGCGGGGGAGGTTCTTTCAGCAGCAGCGGTGGCGACGGTGGGAGTGGCATCAGCAACGGTGGTGGTGGCGCCGGTGGCAGCGGCATAGGAAGAGGAACAGCAGCAGCAGCAGGAGGAGGAGGAGGATTAGGAGGAAGCGGAGGGATTATGCTTGCAAACAGTGGAAGCGTAGGGGATCTCGAACTCATTAGCAGCAGCGGAAGCGGCAGCGGCGGCAGCAACATTGGCAGCAGCGGCAGTAGGGCGTTCGTGGCAAAGAAAGGAACGTTCTGGTTCTCGGTAGACAGTCTGCAATCCTACGTAGAGCTTAATCATTCCATCGCCTCCCGCCCTGGCATCCTCACTCCCTCTCCCGCCTCTGCCTCAGGCGCTGATTCCGCCGCCGCCGCCGCCGCTGCTGCTGCAGCAGGTGCAGGAGCAGGCGCAGCGGGGGGTGGCGCGGGGGGAGGGGGCGCTGCGGCCGGGAAAGCAGCCGCTGCAGTGCACGAGAGCGTAAGTCTTGCTGCAAAGGCGACGATAGGGCCGCATTGTATGGTGGGCGAGGGGACTTCGGTTGGAGAGAAGAGCAGCATCAAGCGGTCTATCATCGGGCGGCATTGCCGGATTGGAGCGCATGTGAAGCTGGTAAACTCCGTGATTATGGACCATGTGACTATAGGCGATGGGTGCCTGGTGCAGGGGTCGGTGGTGAGCAGCAATGTGCTTATGCAGGAGCGCACGAGCGTGGTTGACTGTTACGTGGGGCCGGGATTCGTGGTGGGTAAGGATTATAAGGAGAGTGAGCTGTCTAAGAAACCCAAGGCTCAGGCGGCTCAGAGTTAGCTGCGCTGCGATGATTCCTGGGGCGTCTCAGAATTGATACGTGTGTGCCTCGGGGTTCGTGGTGGGTAAGGAGTAGAAGGAGAGTGAGTTGTCGAAGAAACCCAAGGCTCAGGCGCAGAGTTTGCTGCGATGATTCCTGAATCCTCAGGCGCCGCAGGCCTTGGGGATAGGATTTGTTTTGGGTGGCAAAGGCTTTTCAGGAGAGGGAGTGAGCGGTCTAAGAAGCCCCTAGCTCATGGTCGGAGGTTGTTGTGGGGGTGGTTTTGTCCGGAGAGTGGGGCGGCATGTTGTTGTGATGTTAGTGGCAGCAGTTGAAGGTTGTAGTGGCACTGGCTGCTTCTTTGTGTTGTTGGGAGAAGTCGTGGCACGGGACAGTTGTGGTACGGTATTTGGTGGCTAGAAACCAGCTTTATGAAGTAGTTATTACGCCTGTTACTGGTAAAAGATTCAGTTATATGCGCCCTGTAAGCAATGCCATTTTCAGCCGACCAACTGCCATGTGCCACGCCGTGATTCTGCGTGCTTTTTTTCCTAGTAGCAAAACCCTTGTCACATGAACACCTGCATTTGCACAGTCCTTGTTACACGGTATGTTGTTACGGAATTGCTGGTCTGAAACCACATGCGGTACTGGTGCAAAACAAATAAAATCTAATGAAAGAATCAGTAGCAGCAGTTAGTGATGCAGCCACGAAACCATTGGAGCAACAAAACAGAAGCAGAAACAGAAACAGAAACTAGTGAGAGGCTATTATACACCTGCAAGCTCACAGCAAACGCAGATTCTGACACTCATGCTGTGAAACAGGCAGGACAATCTCCGGTGAATCCTGTGAAAATTATTACCAATGCTGTATGATCCTGCGAAAACGAAGTGGCTGTGATGTGAGTCAGGAGTAGGTATGGAGCCTGCCTGAAGTCAACAGCAGGGGAGTCCTGACTGGACTGAAAGACGGAGCTGTGGAGTATGGGAGTTTGGGAGCCGCAGCAGCAAGCAATAGTGAAGCGCAGCAGCATCAGCAACGATTGAGCTGTCCCGGACCTCCTTCATACGGTACCCCCTTCCCCTCCCTCGCACCCCGCACCCCTCCCCCCCTCCTCCCGGTTCCCTCCTTAGCAGTAAGCACTCGGCCCAACACACCCATACAGTACAGCTGTTGCTGTTTACACTTCATGGCTCAACAGCACCCTCCTCCACTCCCTCAACCTCAAATCAAGGTCCAAATCTGCTGCTGCACGCCAAACAGAGACCAAGCAAGCCCCGACCAAACCACTTGCTTTGCTGGTTGTAGCCATTCCAAATCGTCCAGCCGTCTCAAATCACTATACAGCTCACCTCACCACCCCACCAGCCCGGCTCTACTTCTTAATCGGCTGCACGGCAAGCACCGACCGCACCACATGTCCAGCCCCATCCTCCCAAAACAGGCTCCCGAACGAAAACTCCTGCGACGCCTTCGTCACAGTAAACTGCACGGTGAAATTTGCTGTCCTGCCCGCACCCACCACCAGCACCAGCGGCTTCACCACCACCTTCACGTTCGCCGGGGGGACCACCCGAGCAGTATACGTCGAGCTCACACCGGCAACGTTCTTCACAAAACGAATCACCGTAACGGTTTTCTGCAGGCGTGAGACGGAGATGGTCGGGCGGTTGAGGTTATACCCTGCGATCGCTTTCAACCCCTTGGGGGCCGCCTTACCCAGTCCCAGACTCTTCATCGAAACCTTCCCTCCCTGCCCGCTGAGAAAGGAAAGGTAATCCGTGTAGCTCGCGTCGAACGTCAACCCCGGGTCGAGCACCCCCGCAGGGTTCACATGGCCGGCGCCCATATCCCACGGGGTAGCCGGCTGGCCGATGCTGTTGAGAATCGGGCCTCCCGCGGTGTTACTCGTGCTGGCCGTGGTGAGAATGGCCGACATGACCTGCGCGGGAGACCACTCGGGGTGCGCCTGGACAATCAGCGCTGCGATCCCCGCCACGTGGGGGGTAGCCATGGATGTTCCCGAGAGGAGGGAAAACACCGGCACGGATTTCGTCGCGAGGCTGGCCCCGGCGGAAGCGGCCCAGAGGTTGAAGCCCGGGGCGATGATGTCGGGCTTGAGGATGTCGTTGGTGGGGTAGGGCTTGCGCGGCATGGACGAGGGCTCCGCCACTGGACCCGTGGAGGAGAAGTAGGTCACGGAGGGGGCGGGCGCGGCTGTGACGGCTGGTTCTGCTGCTACTGCCAGAGTGGCTGTTGGGCTGGGGAGGGAAGGGAGGGAAGGGAGGGAGAGGAGGGAGGGAAGGGAGGGACGGGAAGGACAGGAGGAGAGAGGAGGGTAAAGTCACCCATACAAACACCGGAGGGTAGAGAACTCGGCCCCGGCGGAAGCGGCCCAGAGGTTGAAGCCCGGGGCGATGATGTCGGGCTTGAGGATGTCGTTGGTGGGGTAGGGCTTGCGCGGCATGGACGAGGGCTCCGCCACCGGACCCGTGGAGGAGAAGTAGGTCACTGCAGGCGCCGGCGCGGCTGTCACTGCCGGCTCCGCTGCGACTGCCAGAGTGGCCGTGGGGCTGGGAGGGGGGTATACGAGGGGATTGATAGGGGAGGGAGAGAATGGAGGGGAGGTAGTGAAGGGAGGAGAGAAGAGGGTTGAGTCGCCAACAAAAACAACGGAGGGGAGGGAGAACACCGCCACTGGAGGAGGCCACGGGCCCTGTGGAGGAGAAGTAGGTCACTGCAGGCGCTGGCGCGGCTGTCACTGCTGGCTCCGCTGCTACTGCGAGAGTGGCTGTCGGGCTGGGTGGTGGCGTTATTATAAGGGGGTTGGTAGTGGGGAAGATTGGGGGAGAAGAGGGTTGAGTCGGCTTCAAAATCATGGCTGTTCGTTTTTTCATGGCAAACGCACACACACACACTCTCTCTCTCTCGAACGGTCCGTCGTATTAATATCATCAAGGTACACACAGGGTAAAGCAGCAAACCACACACAACAAAGCTACTGATGCAATCTCCTATCCTAACACAGCTATCTCTCTCTCTCTCTCTCTCTCTCTCTCTCTCTCTCTCTCTCTCTCTCCTCCCCACACACTCTGTTCGTCTCAGAGCCCTCTCACCTGGGATCGCCTGCTCCAGAGACACATGCAGAGTGGGGATGGTGGCCCCCTCCACCGTCGTCGACGGGCTGCCCGTCACGTTCACCAGCACCATGGCCCCTTGCCCATTCTTCCACCCGTCCCCCCCCCCCTCCTCTCTCCCTCCCCTCCTCCCCCAGTACGCGCACACACCCCCACACTCCCACACTCTCTCCCACACTCTCTCCCACACACTCTCTCTCTATTTCTCACCTGGGATCGCCTTGCAGATAGTCCATGATATCCCCAGCCTGCTCCAAAGACACATGCAGCGTCGGGATGGTCGCCCCCTCCACCAGCTCCACCGTGGTCGACGGGCTGCCCGCCACGTTCGCCAGCACCATCGCCTTGCCGCCCAGCGACGCCACGACAGAGACCTTGGAGAGGATGGAGGTGACTCCACGGTCGCACACGACTATCTTGTTGGCTACTTTACCGGGGTCCAGCATTGTGTCGAAGCACTGCTGTGCCTGTTGGGTGGGAGGAGTGGTGGGAGGGGCGTGGGGGAAGGGGGGAACGGGGGAGGGGGGAGGGCAGGCGAGAGAAGGGAGGGGTTGAGGTTAGAGGCCAGCACCATGGCCTTGCCTCCCAGCGAGGCCACCACGGTGACCTTGGAGAGGATGGAGGTGACGCCTCGGTCGCACAGCACGATCTTGTTGGCTACTTTAGCGGGGTCCAGCATTGTGTCGAAACACTGCTGCGCCTGTTGGGGGATCAGAAGTGGGGGGCAGGTGAGGAGGGAGATGGGGCGTCAGAGGGGATGGAAGGGGTGGAGTTAGAGGATGGATGGTGGTGACGCTGTGGCGGGGGCAGCAGCATATGAAGGCAATCCTGTTGGCTACTTTACCAGGGGGTGCAGCAGCATTGTGTCTAAACACTCTACTGTCCCACATTCTAATCCCGCCACTCACTCGCGCATTCTCCGTTTCCCCACTCACGCCCCCCTTGCCCCTCACCTTGCCCACGTCCCCCCCATCCACCACAGCTTGTCCGCCTGACATGATCCCGAGCCCTGCTGCTGTCTCCGCCGTGCTCCCCACGCTCCCTACCTCCCCTCCCTTTCCCAACATTCCCCCTTCCCCACGTCCCAGCTACATCCGCTCACCTTGCCCACGTCTCCCCCATCCACCACAGCTTGTCCGCCTGAAATGATTACCAGCCCTGCTGCTGTCTCCGCCGTGCCCCCCACGCCCACGCCCTTGATCGCCACGCCGTTCCCCAGCAGCAGCTGCGTGCGGTACTGCCGGCCTATGGTGCTGTGGGGGAGGAGAAGTGGGGGGTTGGGTTGGACACATGAAGTATATGTGTGGTAGGTACACAGGACACTTTATGTATGCACTGTATGGTGGTATGCATGATAACTACATGCATGCATGCATTTTCTGCATGCACTATGTGCATGCATTGCGTGTGTGCATTGAGTGTGCATGCGCTGTGCGCGCGCCTGGCGCCGACAGTGAGGTAGAAGGGAGAGACGTTGGTGAGAGAGAGCGTGGGAAACGGGGTGAAGCAAAGGGGCGGGGGGGGGGGGGGGGGAGAGAGATAACGCAGGAAATGGGAGGGAGGGCAAGCAAGACGGGGAAGAGGGGAGAGGGGGGCGTACCTGGCGCCGACAGTGAGGTAGAAGGGCGAGACGTTGGTGAGCGAGCGGTAGTTGTAGTAGGTTGGGGGAGGACCCTCGTTGCCCCCCGCCATCACCAGCACCACGTTCGCCTGGGGGAGGCGCATGGAGGGGCGGAGAGAGAAGGGGAAACGGGGAGGAGAAGGGGCGGTGAGAGGACGGAGGAGCGAGAGAGAGGGAGATAGGGAGTGAGGAAGGGGGGAGGAGGGGTGGAGGAGATGTAAGAGAGGAATGAAGGAGAGAACGAGGAACACAGAGATGAGTGAGTGGAGGAGGAGGGGAGAATAAGAGAGGAGGGGTGATAGAGCGAAGAGCGTGGGTGGGACACATGCAGTGTGAGCGTGCGAGCGACTTGTTGTACAGACGGAGTCCGTCTGACGGATCAGGTTGACCTGAGTCACCCACACATACACACACACACACACACACACACACACACACACACACACACACATACACACACACATACACACACACACACACACACACATACACACACACATACACACACACACACACACACATACACACACACACACATACACACACACATACACACACACACACACATACACACACACATACACACACACATACACACACACACACACACACACACACACACATACACACACACACATACACACACACACACACACACATACACACACACACCTCAGCGCACCAGGCAGCCATGCCGTGCACCATGCACGCGGCACACCGCACAATCTTCTCAACTGCACCCACACCGCACACCCCACAGTGCACCCACCTGCACCACGGTTCCCACCCATCCACCCACCCACCCACCCAGCCATGCACGCACCACACATCCCGGCCCTTCCACTCTGCACACACACACAGACCCCTAAACACCCACTTTGGCCCCCCGCACCGCACCTACCTGCACCGCGTTCAACAGAGCACCATCACTGAAATAAGTCGCCTCCATGCCCAGATCACCAAACGACATGCTGAGCACATCCACACCGTCCGCCACAGCAGCATCAACGGCCGCCTCTATGTCCACCGTCTCCCCCGCCGCGCTCCCATCCGAGCTCTTCCATAGCGCCTTGTAGATGGCCAGGCGTGCGCGCGGAGCCATGCCGCTGGCTGCTCCGAAGGTGGCGCCGGTGGGGCCCGTGACCATCACCCCGTTGTTGCCCGCTGCCGCTCTGGTGGGAGGCGAGGGGAAGGGAAGGGAGGGGAGGGAAGGGGGAGAGGAGAGAGGGACGAGGGGTGGGTAGGTTCGATTGGAATGCTTGTCTCATGCTGCTCCGTTGTTGCCCACTGCCGCTCCCTCCCTCCCTCTTTCCCTCCCTTTCCTCCCCACTCCCTTCCCCTCTCCTCCCTTTCCCGCCCCCCTCCCTCCCTCCCTCCCTCCCTTTCTCCCTCCCTCCCTCCGTCTCTCCCTCCCCCTCTTTAGGGATCTTACCCGGCGCACCAGGAGCCGTGGCCGGCGGCGTCGCGGGCGCTCCAGTACTCGAAGGTGGTGTCCACGCCGCAGCAGGCGAAGAAGCGCGCGCCAATGATCTTGCGCCCGCACTGGCGGAAGTCCTTGGTAGCCTCGCACCGCCCCGCCCACCGCGTTGGGGGGGGGCTGTATGGTTGCGTGCCCTGGGGGGAGGGGGAACGGCGGGGGGGAGGGGGAAGTGGTGGGGGGAGGTAAGGCAGGGGGGAAACCGAGGGGACGGGGAAAGCGGGGGAAGAGGAGGGGGGAGGGGACGGGAGGGGAGGTGGTGAGGGAAAGGGGGGTAGCAGAAGGGAGGGTTGTCGCTGCAGCAGGCGAAGTAGCGCGCGACGATAATCTTGCGCCCGCACTGCCGCAAGTCCCTGGTCGCCTCGCACCGCCCCGCCCACCGTGCGGGGGGCGGCCCGTACGGCTGCGTGCCCTGGGGAATGGGGGAAGCGGGGGGAGGGGGACGAAGGGGGAGGAGGGGGGAGGAGAGGGGAGGGGTGGCGGGGAGGGGAAGTGAGGGGAGAACGGAGGAAGGGTGGAGGAAGAGAGAGACTGAGGATAAGGGGGAGTGAGGGAGAGTGGTAGGAGAGTGAGGGAGAGTGGAGGGAGAGTGGAGGGAGAGTGGAGGGAGAAATGCGAGAGGAGGGAACGGGAAGAAGGATGGCGAGACACAAAGTGGCGCATCCAACCACACTGAACAACACACTCCCGCCCAGCAGCACACTCCACTCCACTCCACTCCACTCCACTCCACTCCACTCCACTCCACCCAGAATCATTCCCGCCAACAAACACCACACCCAACGCCACCCCAATCCACCCCATCGCACCGCATCGCACCCCCCACACCACCGCAGCGCACTGTACAGCACAGCGCTCACATTGTCGCTGAACGAGGGATGTTCGGGCCAGATCCCGCTATCGATCACCCCGATTATCACGTCCTCCCCCGCGCTCTGCACGCCGCCATTCGCGGGCCACAGGGTTCCGGGGAGGTTGAGGAACGCGGGGGAGTGCGTGGTAGACGCCACTATGCGGCGGCTCGCGCGCACCGACGCCACCTGCGGGTGCCGCCGCAGCTGCTGCACCTGCTTTAGCGTCAGCCGCGCCGCGAAGCCATTGCTCACGTACTTGTAGCTGCGCGGGTGAAGGGGAGGGGGAGGGGGAGGGGGAAGGGGAGGGAGAGGGGGAGGGGGAGGGGGAGGGAGAGGGGGCCGGGGAGGGATTGGGGGAAGGGGCGGGGGAGGGAGTGGAGGAGTGGGTGGGAATGGAAAGGGGGAGCGGGAAGGGGAAGGGGAAGGGGAGAGGAGGGTAAGGGGGATGAGGGGTAGGTGAAAAGGGAGTGGGAGTGGGATAAAGAAGAGGAGGGGAGGGTACTGGGGGATTGGAAGAGGAGTGGAGTGGGGTGGTGGTTGCGAAGGGAGGAGCCAGAGGGAGAGACGAAGGAAATAAAAGGCAGGAGATTGGAGCGCAGGGGGAGGAGATAATGAGGAGTCTTTTCTTTTCAACAGCGCAACAGCTAGGAAGAAATCGCACTTTACCCCCGCCGTGGTCCGCACCTGTAAAGAACTTTTGACATGGGCAGATTGACGTCCTCCGCGACCTTTTTCTGAACCTGCCCGAGAAACTTGGCGAAGTCGCGCAGCGGCCCTCGCCGCATCTGCTGCCGCGCGCGGCGTGCGGCTCCGCGCATCCCCGCCGCGATGCCCGAGAGCGCGTCGGACACCCCCGCGGTGGCGGGATAGCCGGCGATTCCGCCGCGATACAGGGAGACGGGCGGCGCGGTGTTGAGGTAGACTTTATAGAGGTAAGTGGAGGCCGTCGATTGCGCGGATTGCGGCGGGGAGAAAGAGATGATATCATCTGAAGTTGGGAGGGTGAACGTGCGCGGTCGGGGGAGGGTGAACGCGCGTGGTCGGGGGAGGGCGAACGTGCGTGGTCGGGGGAGGGCGAACGTGCGCGGTCGGGGGAGGGCGAACGTGCGCGGTCGGGACAAGTGACGGGGGGAGGGAGGGAAAGTAGAAATAGGGGGAAAGGGAGGAGGGAAGAAGATGAGGTAAGGGGAAAAAGGAGTTAAGGAGGCGAGAAGGTAGGTGACAAACAGAAGGTGGAACTAAGTGGACGTGTGCTGTGTAGAGAGCCGGTTACGAGAGATGGGGAGAGGATGTACGAGGGTGAAAGAGAGGGACGACAGGCAAGGGGAACGCAGGCGGGGAATGGGGACGGAAAATGCAAGCGGGGAGCGGCGGCGGGGTAATGCAAGGGGTAGGGGATAGGAAAGGGAGAGGTGGGGGGAGGGGAGGGGAGGGGGGGGGGGAGGGGGGGGGTGGGTGGTAGAGGGGAAGGGAATGGGGAAGGGGGGCGGTACCTTGTTGGGATACAACGGCGCGCAGCCGTACGAGAGAGCAGGCGAGGAGGAGCGGAAGGAGGAGGGGCAGCGAGACAAGGAAAGGAGCCTGACGGCGAGAGCGGTGCGCGCCCGACGGCGGTGGAGGTGTCATGACGGGCGGATTCTAAGAACCTATCGGGCGGGCCCAGGAAACGAATTCAACGGAACGATTTGGCGGTCGACTTTAGCAGCGGGCGGATTACGTGGGCGGTCTTGACGGATGGATTTGACGGACGAATCCAGTGGAAGATGAGTGGAACCGCGCGAATGGAGCGATGGCGTCGACGCAACGCAATGCAGTCTAAGGAAAGAGGCGATAAGGGAGCCGGAGCGCTAAGCAGCATGCATGGACGCAGCGGCTCGAGCTCGAGAGGAGGCGAAGCGACTGGGTATGCGCCGCGGGAAAAGAGGGTGCGTAACGAATGGCGTACGGCGGGAGAGTGTAAGACAAGGAGAAATGCTGAGTAGGTTGACGAATTTCGCTCTCAACGCTTAGGGGCGTTCAACGAAACTTTTTTTCGCGCTGACTGGTAACTAGGCGAGCGAGTGCGCTGGCTGGCTAGCGCCCATCAGAGTTGCAATCGCCGACAAGCATGGCATCGAGGCTTCGGAAAGGGAGTACAACAGTGTTATGCGTCGGGTTTGCGAAGGCATCTAAAGGAACAGCTGCAAACACCGCGAATGGAAGAACGGTTGTTGGATGGATGGCATGGCAGCCGTTGGATGTACACTACGAGATGAGAATGTCGGGGACCTGACTTCCCTGATGCGCAGTAAGGTACTCTACACTAAAGCGCAGCGGTCCGGATAGCGCGGATTTCTTGTAACGCTTGGATTGAGCAACGACCAGGGGTGTGGTCGACGCCTTCCAGCCGCATTCGACGGAGGAGGTGGGAAGCGTGGGGTGGGAAGAGGGGTGGGGGGGAGTCGGGAGGAGTGATGTGCGCAATGAAGACGCAAGGAGGAATGGGAAACAGCAGTGCCATGCCATGCCCTGGCGGCGGCGGCGAAGGCCATGGCTAAAGCAAAGGTTGGTGCACAGAACGCTGTCTGTGAAGCAAAGCATGCAGAATGCTGCACATGCCACGTTGAGTCATGCACTGTTCGGCTGCACTTCCCCCTTGCCACCTCTGTGTTTCCATTTCTCCTCTCCTCCCCTCTCCGCCTCTCCTCCCGCCACCCTCAGTCCAAACAGATAGCCATGTGGATTGCACCAAAAACAGATCAGTGTTTGTCTTGCCTGCGGTGCGGTACAGACTCCAGCAGGTTGCAGCTGGCATGACAAATTCCCCTTCCCTCCCGCCTGCTCTACGTCCCCCCACACAACCCCACCCACCCCGCTCCGGTCCTCCCATCTTCCCCCCTTCCACATCCCCCTCCCTCCCCCCACTTCCAGCGACCCGAGGATCTTCACAAACAACGCAATTCAGCGCTCAACCGAACCCAACCCAGCTAAACTATAGACGCGCGCGAAGAAGTGCAGTTTCGCCCCCAGTTGAACCTGCATTTCTTCCTGCGCCTCCGCCCTACCAATCCGCCCGATTCCCCCCGATTTCTATTCTTGTCGTTTACATGATTGTCATTTTCTGCATTTTTCCCTTCCCCCCTCTCTCAACCGCACTTCGCCCTCTGCCCCCTCTCGTTTCTGGTCAGCCCAAACGATTGTCCAACCAATCTCTGCTGGCAAGAAATCGACATTGCGGTGAGGTGTACAGTCCCCTACCTCCCCACTCCACCCTAAAAAGCAATCTTGATGGCTATATATTAAATCAAATCGCGTACAACACATGTTTACACATGTGTGTACGCGCAAAGGGCTGCTCTGCTCCAGCCAGCCGTCTTTCGCGTTGAATTGATGCCTTCACAACCTGGCAGCGCCGCCACCAACCTTCCAGCTGTCATGTCAGGTGAATTGTGCTTGCGTGGCGCCGTTCAAGACCCTCTGAGACTCAGGTGGTCTGGAAGGTGCTCAAATGTTACCTGAATACACAACTTAATCTATACTCTCGTCATTATGTCGCAATAACTACAAGGACAACCACCATCCATTGAATAAATATATTGAATGATATAGTACAAGCTCGAAGGTACTACAAACTAGTCAAAGCAACACATCCTACTTTTTCTTCAGCACCATACGTGATTGCACAGCCAACACAGAACGCACTTTGTGCCCTAACTCATCCTCCCATGTCAAGCTGCCAAATGCAAACTTTGTGGAAGGCTTGACAATCAGCACAGTCACTGTGAAAGTCTTGGATTCTCCAGGGTTCACAGAGAACTGGCTTGGAGTAACTGTAACTTGCACCCCAGCAGGGAGCACCACCTTGGCTTTATACGTCGACGCACTTGTCGCAACATTGATCACCGTCCTTACCGCAACCCGTGTGCCGTTCACCCGAGAAAACACTAGTGCCGGAACGTTCAAATTGTATGCGGGAGTGGGAGTCACCACCTCCTTAGGCCACAACACCGAGGTCCTATACTTGCTTTGCCCGGCCAGAAAATTCATGTAGTCTTGCAGGCCCGCATTATACGTGAGCCCGGGATCAACCAGCCTCGCAGCACTCACTGTCCCCGCTCCCATTTCCCAGGGCGTTGCAACCACCCCCTTCTCTGTGGTGATCGGCTTCCCGGCGTCGTTATTCGGGTTCGCGGTCGTCTGTATCGCAGACATCACCTGAGCGGGCGTCCACGTGGGGAATTTCTGCACGAGCAGCGCAGCTACCCCCGCGACAAGCGGCGTGGCCATGGACGTCCCAGAGAGGAGATCAAACGCGGGCTTCTCCCTGTCGTTGATATCGCCTGCAACTGCAGACCAGAGCTCGACACCTGGACTGAGAATGTCCGGCTTGAGGATATCGTTGATGGGGCCTCCTGCGACGGGATCAGCCATGGGGTCTAGCGGAGGGCCTGTGGAGGAGAAAGCAGCTACGGCGGGCGGGGAGATAGTTGACTTGCCGAATGCACTGTCTGCTGCCATGGCTGCTGTGGGCCTGAGTGGGTGAGAAGCAGCAGGAGAGCACAAGAGCACAGGAGGAGAATGATGAGACTAAAGCTGGTGGGTGGGTTGGAACAAAACGCCTGCTGGGAACATCACACGAAATTCTTGCAAGTTGTTTGTTGCAACATCCAGACCCAGCTCAGGTTTTTTTTCTGTGTAACAACTTTCAATGAGCAATGCACTCAAACCACTGCCGTACAGACAAGCAACCACATCCACCACCACCGCCCCCCACCACGACCACTCACTGCTTGGTTTTCTTGATGTACGTGCGAATCACTGCCCCCTGCGCCGCCGTAAGATGCACCGTGGGGATTGTGGCTTCAGACACTGACGAATACACATCCGAGCTCCCGGTCGGGTCATTCACAAAAATAACCCCCAGGCCGCCCGCCGCTGCCACCACACGAGCCTTCTCGAACAAATACACTCCGCCTCGCAAGCACATCACAATCTTGCCAGCTACTTTAGCCGGGTCCAGGCACCCTGGAAAGCACAGCTCTGCTTCGTCGAGGCTCGCCACGTCCCCAGGTGCAGACCGGCCGTCGATCAACGGGAGCCCCTTGGCGGTTACCGCATTACCGCCAAGGCCAGCGCCTAGAACTACCGCCTTGTTTCCGAGGGTAATCTGCGTCTGGTACTGCTGCGCCAGGTTGCCAGCCCCCACAGTGAGATACCACGGAGAGTAATTATACAGAGTGCGGTACGCCGAGTAGCCGGGCGGCGGGCCGGCGTTCCCGGCGGCGAAGATCGGCACGACGCCGACCTGATTCGCGCGGAGGTAGATCCGGTCGTCAAAGTAGCTGGTGCCTACGTCGCTGACATAAGACATGCTGAGCACATCCACCCCATCCTCCACGGCTTGATTCACCGCTGCTTCAATGTCGGCTTGTTCGGCGATAAGCGAGCCGTCTTTTTGCGTCCAGAAGACCTTGTACACGGCGATGCGCGCGCGCGGCGCCATGCCGGAGACGGTGCCGAAGCGCTTGCCTGAGCTGGACACCACGGGGACGTTGCTGTTCCCTGCTGACGCGCTGGTATTGAAAGGTGGGAGGCGGGAGACGGGAGAGGGGAAGATTAAGAAATGAGGAATGGCACGAGATGGAGGAGGCCTGGTTCAGAAATGATGCTGTAAACCACATGACCACATGTGAGGGTTTCGGGTTTAGGGTTGCAGAGAATGACGGATAGGAAGCAGACAGTGCGGGATCAGCCCGAACGATGCACGTGAGCACGGTACGGTATGGTTGAGCGCGGTATGGCTCACGTGCATAGAGCATGACCCAAGGGAAAGCAGTGCGTGGGCGACGTATGTACGTACCCAGCACACCAGGAGCCATGGCCGTCCGCGTCGCGCGGCGAGCGGTAGTCGACAGCGGTGTTGAGCTGGCGACCGTTGCTGTCGAACGAATCGATAAAGAAGCGCGCGCCGATCACCTTGCCGTTGCACGCGGGGAAATCCTCCGACGAGTCGCACTTTCCCTGCCACGTGGCGGGCGGCGGGCCGTACGGGTTCGAGTCCTGCAGGGAAGGTGGGAGAGGGAGGGGAGAAGGGCGGGGAGAAGGGGAAGTTGATTGCGTGTTGCTGGTGAACGCAGTTTCTTTTAACGGGGGCTCGGAAACATATGAATGGTTGCGGAGGGGGAGGGTACGACAGGGGGGGGGGAGAACGAAACGCGAAACATGAACACATGGGAATGGGAGGGAGCGCACATGGCGAGACGACACAGAAAGCTTTGTTGCGACACGTAGTATTAGCCTTGCTAGATGCGCTAACATTTAGCTTTGTTACATTTAGCATCGGGTGCTCGGGCCGGATCCCACTGTCGAGTCGACCACCCCGCCCAGCATCACCCCCCCAATCAAATACCCCACCCAACCACACCCCAGTCCACCCCATTGCACCGTACCGCAACCCACTCCACCGCACTGCACCGCACTACACTGCAAAGTCCTTACATTGTCGCTGAACGAGGGGTGCTCGGGCCAGATTCCGCTGTCGATCACCCCAATTATCACGTCCTCCCCCGCGCTCTGCTCCCCCCCGTTTGCCGCCCACAGCTCCAGCGGCGACTTTAGCAGGCTGTCCTGTGAAGTCCCCGTTTTTCCGCTCCCCCCTCCCGCGGGCTTCCCCGTACTAGGCGCGGGCGGCCCCGCAGGTGGGGGCTTTCCCACAGGCGCGAGTGTCACCCCGGGCGTGAGAGACCCCCCAGGCGCGAACGTCCCCACAGGCGGGGGCACCCCCCCAGGAGCGGGCGTTCCCCCAGGCGCGGGAGTCCCCCCGGGCGCGGGCGTCCCCCCAGGCGCGGGCGTCCCCCCAGGCGCGGGAGTCCCCCCGGGCGCGGGCGTCCCCGGGGGCTTTCCCCCAGGCGCGGGAGTCCCTCCAGGCGCGGGCTTCCCCGCCGCGGTTGCTATTCCCGCTGATTCTGCGCTTTCCGCTGCGGCGGGGGTGAACAAGCGGCGAGCTGGGGAGGACACCTGCCCCGCGGGGCGGACGGGGAGGCTCCGCCGCACTTCCGCCACAGCGGCGTTTTTCCGCAGCTGGTCGACTTGCGCGGCCGTCAGCACTGCGGCGAATCCGTTGCTCAGATACTTGTAGCTGCGCGCCGAGCGAGAGCGTCGGGGGATCGGGGGAAGGGTGCGGGAGAGACGCGAAATGAGACGTTAACGAGAACAGGATCAGGGGAGACTGGGGGAAGGGGGAAGGAGGGCGTGGTTCGGAGAAAGTTAATCAACCAACTGAGAATGTGGAGGGCGGCGGAAAGGACGCAGGGGTGTTGGGGCGGGACGGGAAAAGGGTGGGACGGATCTTGCAAAAGGCCAGTTGCCACCAGCGACAGGAGTGGAGAATAAACGAGCAGAGGCAGCACGAGGAGTCGGAAGCGGCGGGAGGACGGATCAGATCAGATTCCGCACTTCGACGCAACGGCCGCCTCACCCTCATCACATAAAACTTGCGGTAGAGAAATCTCAAAAGAAGTTTAATTCCCCCGTATTCCCTCGTAAGAATTGTCTGAAGCAACTATCATCGGACTCCTAGACTCAAAGATGCGGCCACCGCCTCACCTGTAAAGCATTTTGTTCGCCGGGATGCCCGCTTTCTTCGCGACGGCCGCCTGTGCTTGCCCCAGAAGCCGCGCAAACGCCTGCACGTGCGGAAGGCGGATGTTCGGGTTCCGCCGGCGGAACCACCGGCGCAGCGATTTGCGCATGTTGCGCAATCCTGACGCCGCCGCGGTGGCCTTCACGGCGGCGGCGGCAGCGGCGGTGGTGGCGGCGAAAGGAGGTATCGTCGCGGGGAAACCGGCGATTCCGCCGCGATACGCGGAGATTGGCGGAAGGTCGCGCAACCGCACGATGTACACAGCGGAGGGCTCCGCCGCTGGCGGAGGGGGAAGGAGAGACGGGATGAGGGGGAGAGAGGGAGAGAATGCGACAAGTTCGGGTAACAGGAAAGACAGGGAGTTCTCGGAAGCGGAAAGAGATGCTGCGGAAAGGTGGAGGGAGCGACCGAGTCGGTGTCCGAGTCGAGGTGGCAACGCGATGATAGCGCTGATTACGCGAAAAGTGTACAACACCGTCCTCCCGGCGGCTTGATCACGCATCTCCTCGTGACTGCCCTTCCTAATATCACGCATGTCCCGAGAAACGTACCGTGTTTTGAGTCGACTCAAAACACGACTGCCCTTCCTAGCATCACGCATGTCCTCCCGAGAGGCGTACCTCCATACGAAACAGCAACGGTGACGATAGAGAGCCACGTGACGAAGGCACACCGCTGCGCCAGCCGCGCCGCGTAAGTGGGGTACTTCATTGAATGAAGAGGCGCTGGCTTGGGGAAGAATCGCCAAACGTAGTAGTAAGCTCTAACTTCAATCTCTATTTAAGATCTCAAACAAGGTCCCAGAAGGGAACGCTGCCGCGACGGCGCGACTCGCAGCGCCTGCCACTGGCAGCGGTCGAGATCGCGTGTCGCGCTCAAGTGGTTATCTAGATAAATGAGAATCTCGAACTGCCTTTGCTGCCTCGCGACAGCTGTCACCTCTGCGAACGGTTCGTATTTTGTGGAGTCCGCCGCTGTTGATGACGGAGATTTCAAAAGTAGCGGTAGCAATCATTCGTGAAGGATGTTACCGGTACAGCCTTTCTAGCCAACGCGCTCAGACCTGAGGGAATTCGTCCTGATATTAAGCCGTGTTTAGCTGCCAATTCGGCGCGACTCGGTGTGGGAGTTGTAGGCTTGCTAGAACCGCGAATAACTTATTAATCGCAAATTTAGCTTTATTGTGAATGGCGCTGCGGAAAACGGACTGAACTCGCCGACTTTTGCTAGTCTTCGGAGTAGCGCTGCGACGTGTGCTTGGTAGAGGGAGCTTTATGAAACAGGTCCGGGGTGGATCTGGGTTCTGAGAGCCGGGACAAGGTGTGAAGCTGGCGGGAAATGCGGCGGAGAGAAACAGGCGAAAGGGCGATACCGGGCAGGGCTAACTTCTATGTACAAACCAAACAGGGAGATATGGTTGCAGCGTCTAGCTGGTGTAAGGATTGGTGGTGATGAATCGAGCGTTGTCAGTGAGTCAACTTGGACAACTAATCTAGTCGAGGGGATGATTTGTGTCCAGAAAGCAGCTGAAGGGCAGCCGCGTGGGCAAGAAGGGAGCACCGAGCGCATCCATTTCATGTGAATGTCTGCGAGTATGGGATGGGGTGGGATGGATTACGGAGGTTGAACGATGCGCGGGTTGCAGAACGGTTTAGGGGGGTAAGTCTGACCGAGGCGCGGTGTGCCGAGGTGAACAGAACCATTTCGTACGGAATCTTCAATCCAAGGGGTGGCGGGTGGAGTAAGGTGGGGGGGAAGGTTTGATTGGCGTGGGGCTCTCCAGCCATTTCTTCTGTAGTGCCCTTGCCCCTATACCTTCCTCTGGAGTTCCTCCCTTCTGCCTCCCTCCCTCCCCCTCCCTCCCTCATTATCAGAGCACAATCCTCAACAAGTCAAGGGTTTCCACAGTTCTGAGTAGAGAAGCCTGCCGCATGGGTTGCCGGGAAATACCCCATTATGTTGGGTTGTGACTTTGTAATGTACAGTGATTGGAAAAACGATTACTACGGTTGGGTACGCGCTCGACCGGTTAACGAAAAAGTTACGAACTCGGCTTTTGTATCGGTTGTAAACTCCCGGTGTAAAGCTTGGGACAACTGCCTGAAATTCATGAAGTGCTCTATTTGGCCAGGAATGAAGTTCACCAGTAGTTTCATGTCACTCAACCTCCCAACTTCCGTCAAGCTCCAATATCTTTTGCACATGTCTAGTATTGACGTTGCAGGATTCACTTGACATGCCCAGCCAGCTTCTTCGCGTGGCTATGTAAACTGCTGTCAGATTTCAAGAGATCGAAATTACAGAAGTAGGTAACTTCTGGTGTTTTGTACTTTCCCCATTGCTGGATGAAAGACTATTTTTTTAGCCAAGCTCAACACCTTTAGCCCATACTATTCTCAAGTCCAACCCTTGACTGCCTCGCGGAACTTCAAACTGTATGTCCATCAGACGATGTGAGCTGTATGAGCTGTGTCAAGCTTGCTCTCTTGTGCTGAACTGTGTTGTACAAGACCGTTCAGCTGTTCGTAAAGCTGTACACGGGTTTTCACAGACTGTCTTGCTTCTGCAAGGAACACTACAGACTCAACCCAAGCCACATCTGTACTCACAGTAACAGACCTGTAGCGAACAAGGGATGGCTCAAAAGAAGCATGAACTGTCGTTATTATCTCATTTCCCTGAACGTTCTCAATGATTTGCATAACCTCCACAAAATTAGACTGATGCGGAATAAATCAGCCCACTTTAGACATCTGTTGTACATATAATATAAATGTCTATAATACCAATTATTTTTGAAATATTAAAAACATCTCAATTTTAGTCTATGTCATATCAAATAAAAGACGTATTATATTTTTTTTATAAGAAGAATAAGAAAACTTTGAAAACTTCGGAAATATTTAAATATCTGGTGCATACACACAAAATTACGGGCTCTAAATTGAACGAGAGCCGACACATCGGTATTAAAAACTAGAAGACATCGACCAAAAGTCTTAACGGTTTGCCCAAAAACGGTTGACGACATAGCGACATTAAGCATTGACATAACCAACTAGCAGAAAAACTAAAACTTTTGGCACGAGCATGTTTGATGCCTCCAAGAAAGCATGTTTAAACATAATATGATAAAGTAATTAAGTACTACTGCATTTACCTATCAATTTTTTCTGCTCATCGCACATTTTCCATCCTTTTTCTCCCTATTATTTCCCCTTCCCACTCATCTTGTATGCATTTCCCTATTAGTATTGATTTTTTCCATCGATTATCTTTCAACCTCTGTAGATTGCATATTAGGTAGGGTCGTTCGTCAATTGAGATATATTGGAAAAAATATCGATAATAGATTTTACTATTACGATGTAGGGCTTGTGATTTTTCATGTTTCTTAGAGATATGTATATATATATAAAATAAATCATAAATAAGAAAACTTTACGAATGATATGATATGCATAACCTTAATATTTATAAATCGAATCATTTTATTTATGTCATCTCTGGAGAGGTGATTACGAGTTTTTTATTTCATTCTCTATTGTAATATATCTATACTTCGTACCTAATCAATTTGATATATTGGCGACCACCAATATTCATCTTTTGGGGTGTGATAGTTTGTGGATTAAATATTCATTAAACACTTTTCGCACGTCACCCGCAGCTCCAAACTAAAGATGTACTGTACGATTCCTTGCGTACTGTACCTACGTTTCAATGTTCTTGCAAGATTCTTGCACGCTCGCGCGAATGATGTGTGGAGCAGAGATGCCTCTTGGTGAGCGTGCTGTAAAGATACAAGGCTGCCCAACCTCCCCCACTGAGTAAATAGAATCTTGGCCGCCAAAATTTCAACGCGCACCTCCCCCCTCTCCACTCACTCCCACCCGCCCCTACACTCCCCCTTGACGGCGCGCCGGCTTACAAGCTGGTTCCAGCATGTGGACAGGACATAGGATGCCTGACATTGACACACCACCAACTCCCACATGCAACCACATCGAGTCAGGTTGACCCATTTCTTGCACTGAGGGCACCCGAGGGTATGCGAACATTTTTCGCAAATCCGCCACCACCTTTCGCAAGCTTTCGGGAACGACCACAGGTGGAACACTGGTCGATCAATCTCACCTTAGGAAACATCTGGGCGAGGTTTCGTGAATTCGCGCAAACCAAGCGAAATAGTGTTCACCGTCCTCCTGGTTTACGATCGACAGCCGGGGCTCCTCTCCCTAAACATGCTTCACTTTCCGTACACATGGGCCCTGTTCTGTTGGCGCATAAGGGGTGCTCAGCCCTAGCGTTGAACATTCTCGGAATGCGCATAACAAGCTTAAAACCAGGGTGCACATTCAACGCTGTTCGGCTTGAGATGTTGGGAAGGGGGTTTGGAGAAAAACAGTGATTGGCTCACGAGGGGCGACAAAAAAATGATTCCGCTAGAGCTTCGGGCATTTCGTAGGTGGCGGGAGGGGGTGAAATGGCGGGAGTGGGTGAAACCGAATGGCGGGAGGGATGAAACAGATTGGCGGGAGGGGGGGGAAACGAAATTGCGGGGGAGGGGGGAAACAAAATTGCGGGGGAGGGGGGAAACGAATTTCGACGGGGAGGGGGAAATGAAATTGCGGGGGCGTGGGGAAACGAAATTGCGGGGGAGGGGGGAAACGAATTTCGACTTGAAGGGGTTGAAAGCACACCTCGTAACCCACTCAGTCAAGGGATAACCTTTGATGCACATTCAGCTGAATGTGCACCCCGGTTTTAAAGCCTATGTCGAGCCTCCGAACCTCTGGTGCGGGAGTTGTGCGCGCATTACTCATGCGTGCGCGAGAACGGCCCTGTTCTGTTGGCGCACAGGCCATTCGCAGCTGCCGCACAGGTACTGCGGACAGCGTTTTCCTCGAAAGGAAGGGAGGGCCTGAAGCCTCGTCGAAGGGTTTAATAATCGACAAAATTACGAACTTTTTTCTCCCATGTGCCCCAAAAAATGTTGTTACATACTGCCCTGGCACTATTCAAATTTCAAAATTACGCGAACTGATGCACTGGATGTGGCAGTCTTACTGGTTAGCCGTTGGATTTTTTTTGGGTGAGTATTCCACCAAAACAATACCCCAAAACGGGCGTTTGTATCTGCCCGTTATTTGTTGTGCGTCTCTTCATTCCCCCCTCGACGAGGGCATAGGGCTCGCACAGACCATGCGGGAAAATTGCTAGTGAAACCAAGCTCGTGGAATTTTCTCAGCGCACAGAGAGTTTCTGGAAGCAGGTATCTGCTCGCATAAAGCTGCGTGCCTGGAAGCATGTGACATCGGTCCAAGGCTACACACCGACATTCTACGCTTTGGCCGACCATGTGGACGATATAAGTGACATGGAGCCACTCGACAAATACGTAGCATGCCTCAAATATGAAGTGCAGTGTGAGGTACGACGAACGAGGCCACGCGACTTCATCGATGCCGTCCAGCTGGCCGAACCTACGGATGCGCTAATGCAGTGGCCGAGATTGAGTTCTCGGGAGGGCAA